TTAAAATGATGCAAGGAACGTGTGATAAATCTAATGACTTAAAAATAAATGCCTCTAGTGCATGGTCAGCTAAAAAAATCATGGAAAAATTTAAATTTTGGAAGAGCAGTATTATACAAATTAAGAGTTTAGAACATGGTCGTTCATTGACTAAAGAACAGGAGCTAAATGAAACTAATTCTATACTTCTGGGATTTCTACTATTAGTTGTATTAATTGCTATTAGTGGAATATTAACAATTATAATGTGGTTCACTGAATTTTATATGTTTCAAATTTTACAATTTCTGACTATCACTCGAGGCAGTTCTTCATATAATATGTGGCTAAATCCACCTGTTAAACCGTATGTATCTATTTATCCATTCAACTATACTAATATTGATGAAGTTTTAAAACATGGCCATGTTCCTATTGTACAAGAGCTTGGGCCATTTGTTTATAGAGAAACTGTTGAAAGAATAAACATAGAATTTAATGAAAATGGAACTGTTACTTATCAAGAAAAACGAAGTAATGAATTTGTTCCAGATATGTCTCAAGGTGATCCTGAACATTTAACCATTATTGCTCCTAACCTACCATTAATAAGTGCAATATCGAAAAGTGTTGATACATTTTATCTGACTAAAAAGTTTATGTCGTTGCTTTTTGCAGGATTTAATGTAAAACCATTTCTTCATTTAAAAATTAATGACTATTTTTGGGGTTATAAAGATACTATATATACTTTGGCTCAAGGTTTAGCATCTACAGTACATAAAGATGCACAATTGTCAAAATTTGGTATTATTGCTTCACGCCGTGGCGTATCATCTGATAGAATTACAATTCATAGTGGAGTTGGAAATTTAAATGAGCTCGGTATTATTACTCGTTATAATGGACAAAAGACTTTAAATGTCTGGAAAACAGATGAATGTAATCGTTTAGATGGTAGTGATGGATCCCAATTTCCACCAACTACATTAAACCGCAAATCAAAACTTTATGTATTTCATAAAGATCTTTGTCGTCGATTTCCATTGGTTTATAAAGAAGACATTGAAATAGTTCCTGGAGTGACAGCATTTCGTTTTCAAGCACCTAGAAATGTTTTTGACAGGCCTATTACAAATCCAGATAATGCTTGTTATTATACTTCAGAAACATGTCCACCTTCAGGAGTTTTCAATTCATCGCCATGTAATGGTGCTCCAGTTATGATGTCATTCCCTCATTTTTATCTCGGAGATCCAGAGTTAAGAAAGAACATTCATGGATTGATGCCAGATCCTGATTTACATGAAACCTTTGTAGATGTTCATTCTAAGTTAGGAGTAACCTTAGGTGGACGTTCCAGATTCCAAGTTAATATTATGTTAAAGAAAGCTGATGGAATTTCACATTTCAAAAATTTTAAACAAGGAATCATACTACCAGTAGCATGGATAGAAGTAAAAGTTGATAAACTTCCTGAAGATATAAAGAGGGCTCTTCAACAGGCTTCAATTGGTATAAACTTGGGTGAAATATTATTGAAATGGATATCACTACTGACGCTAACATTATCTATGGTATTTTTAGTTCGGAAAATTATTTTAAAGGATTGTTTTATGTCAGATGAAAAAAAAATATTACCTGTGAATAAAAACTGCTTTGTATTCAAATAAACTGATTAAATTAATCAGTAGTTTTTATTAGGTTAAATATTGTTTCATCATATTTAGTTAATTATATTTTCTTATTAATATATTCACCATAAAGTGTTAATTTCAGAACCTAAGTGTGTTACATAACTTTATCTTTGTATTTTTATATTATAATTATAAATACATAACATTTGTTTATTGATGTGAATTGTCTATTTATTTATATTAATATTTAGACCAAAAAATTAAATAGCCCTTATCCATCATCTTATTTAGTAACTAACTATAATATAATACACTTGAATGTAACATTCATTGGTGTTGTTTATCTTGAGTAATCTGAACATATGAGATAATCGAATACAACCTGTGCTTAATTAAAACAAACAATTATTATAATTAGTTGTTTTATGAAATTGTATCAATTTGTGTATTTATGTTATTACAATATACTGCATTGTGTTTTGATTATTGTCTTTGGTTTTTTTTTTAGATGGATTATAATGTTGTTGTTTCTGACTACACTGCAATGGATCGTGTATTACGCGAAGAACGTGCTTATATCCTTAATATTGTAAAACAAATTAAAAAAGCCGGTTGCAATGTTTTATTGATTCAAAAATCAATTTTGCGTGATGCTTTGTCTGAATTGGCTATACATTTCTTAGATAAAATAAAATGTATGGTTATTAATAATATTGAACGAGAAGATATTGATTATGTTTGCAAGGTATATTTTTCTATTATAGTTTTTGTTAAGGAAATTGAAAGCGACGAGTTTATCTTTGGCGCCTTTGTCTTATCCACATGAAATATAGGGATTTAAATGTAATTTAAGTCCAATGTACCAATTGATCTAGTAAAGCAATAAATTCTAGAAACAGATTTGAATTTATCATGAAATCTACTTGTGATCGACTTTCCCACTTTTTAAATTTATCTTCATAAATTCTAAAAAAAAGTCATAATAAAAAAATAATTGAATAAATAGAATATTTTAATTTTTTCTCAAAAAGATTAAAAAGCAAAAAAGTGGGAAAGTCTATCTTAGTAGACTTCACAACAAATTCAAATCTGCTTTCAGAATTCTTATCACTTCACTAGATTAATTGGTATGTTAGAAATAAAACACTTAAATTCCTATATTTCACGTGTGTAAGACAGAGATAGAAAATTGTCGCTTTCAATCACCTTAACATTATTTTAATTAATTAAAAATGTTTTTTAGACATTGAATTGTAGACCAATTGCTAGTCTTGATCACTTTGTTGCGGAAAACCTTGTATCAGCAGATTTGGTAGAAGATGTCATGACTGGAAACAGTCATTTTGTACAAATTACTGGTATCAACAACCCTGGTAGAACAGTAAGTGTTATTGTGCGTGGTTCTAATAAATTGGTCTTGGAGGAAGCTGAACGATCACTTCATGATGCATTATGTGTTATTCGATGTTTGGTGAAACACAGGTAAGTTATTGAGGAAATATTTTTCTTAACATTGATTAATAATTTTTTTTTATATTGAGATAAATGATTTCAGAGCACTTTTAGCTGGCGGCGGAGCACCTGAAATTGAAATCAGTATAAAGTTAACTGAGCTTGCTAGATTAGTTACTGGAGTTGATGCATACTGTTATAGAGCTTTTGCTCAGGCTCTCGAAGTGATACCTTTGACTTTAGCTGAGAATGCTGGTCTTAACCCTATTACCACAGTTACAGAGTTACGTAACAGACACTCTCAAGGTGAAGTTACTGCTGGCATTAATGTTCGAAAGGTAACTGATGAATTTATACAAGTATATATATATTAATGTTTTAAGTATATATATATAAATTGATCCAATTTCATTTTTAGGGTGCAATAACTAATATTCTGGAAGAAAATGTTGTGCAACCCTTATTAGTATCTATAAGTGCTATAACATTGGCCTCAGAAACCGTACGCAGTATTTTAAAAATTGATGATATTGTAAGAAATATTCTGTTAGAAAAATAATTAGTTCATTATCTTATTGTTGTTTTTCTTTTAGGTAAACACTAGAGGATACTAAACATTTCTACTTATTATGAATCTTTTCTGGTAAGTTTGTAGTTATTTTTAATTGAAATAATTTGAATTTATTTTACTACTGTCATAGTTCAAATAATAAATGATTTCAGATCCAAAAGAAAGACTGCACATACATAATACAACTAACATCATAACATTTTTAATGGATCAAAAGTGAACTCCTCCAAGCACAAGTTATAAAAATCAGTTTGCTTTGTGCTAATTATTTTTTTGTTAGATTCTTTTTTACTTTATAATAACAATACATATTAAAATTACTTATAATTGGTCTAAATATTTTGAAATTTATGCCATTCTTTGTGTAATTCATACAATTTATAATACATTTTATGCACTTAGTAACTAATATTATATTTTTGATTCTATCAAAAGTCCGTTGCACTAGTATTTTATTCATCATTTAGTTTATATGATGGTGTTGAAACGGTTTGAAATGAAACAGTTTTAAAATTAATTAAATTGATTTAGTGGATATTATGTAAACCGATTTAAATTTAATTGTTTCTTACATGACTTGAATTTGTTCCAAGAGATAATATTTATCTAAAAAATTGATAGTATATATCGTAATTGTAATCTTAGATCATGTTTGTAAACTTATGTAACTTTTTTGATAATAGATATTATAATTTAATGAAAAGATTATATTATAGTTATATTTTTGTCTATTACAAAATCAAGATTAAAACTATGCGTATCTCTTAAGTCTGCAATAGTAATAATAATAATAATAATATTGATCAATTCACGAGTAAGTGCGAAATGATTCAATAATGTAATTTAAATTTTAAATATCTAATGAAAAAAAATGTGTTTATATGTCAATGTGATAAACTGTTTAAAGTGAATGATAAGATTAAGTTTTAATTTTAAAACGTTTTAACACCATCATATAAAAACTTACCGATTGCTAGGCTCCTTGTACAGTATAATACTTATAAACATTTTAAAACGTTGATTGTTTCAATAAAGGTAGGTAGGTGATAAATATTTAATATTAATAACTTATTTGTTTCCATTTATTGGGAAAACTTCTGGAAAAATCAAAAAAATACCTCCTTAAAGTACCACCATAATTGGTTTTCCTTTCAGATAAAGTGCTATCATTGTAAGTGGTAGCGAAATTGCTAGTAGAAAAGTTGTTCAGAGAACAAAAATAGACGTAAAACAAATATATTCCTGGCTCCATTCTGAATCCTAAATCTTTCAATGAATAGATGCTTTTTACCAAGACCAGTAAAAATTACCTATAAATACATGTTTAAATTTACATATATTATAATTCATAAATATAATATTAAACATTGTTTTTGAATTTTTACTAGTTAGCAATCTAGTTTATTATTTATATCTGTGAGTACCACACACTATTTCAAAGTGATATGTACTTAGTCATTCTTCCAAGTCCAAAAGCTATACTTCAACCTATAGAGGTTATATATTATTAAGTCAATAGATCAGCTATCATCTATGTTTCAACATAAATTCCATTAAAATCAAACACAAATAAAAGATCAATATTTCGTTTAGATTTATTATACTTGATGATAAAAATATAATAAATATTGAAGCCCTATTATCCATGGTACAAAACGTTTTAAATAAATTAACCACCAAATTAGAGATGGGGACAGTTATTCGAAAATGATTATGTCAAATAAGAATGGCCCAAGAGCATATACCTATATTTAAATGTAAAGTTTCTTTGTTTGGGGCTCATTTGCTATGAAACAATTAAGTGAGCGAATGAAGAAAATTAATCGAAAACAAAACTTGTACATAAAATCAGGATGGTGGAATTTTATTTTATGTGTAATATGTTAATATGTGACCGACTGAAAATGATTATTATTTTTAAATAACTATACTGCTAAAATATTATATAACATTTGGTCATACTCGTATCAATAATTATGAAAATACGGCAAATCTATAATATTTCAGTTTTTTGTTTTTATTTGGTAAAAAATTAGAGACCTGTAGTTATCACTATCTTGAGTTAGTTTTTTAAGTTTATTAGTTTTTTTTTTTGTAAACTTTTTAAGATCAAATTTTAATCAACATTGTACAAATTATGGCATTTCCAAAATAATAGTTACCAAACATTATATAACATTGCTTCGAATCGATTTTTTTAGCAATAGTTTATCATTGAATATAATTAATAACTATGTATCCTAACTTCACAACTTCTCACATATAACAGTGGCTGTGCATCCGTCCCCAGTATCAGCTTTTTTTTTATATACTTGATGAGAACTTAACTTGGGGAGAGGGATAATCATCCCCAAGTTTTCCCTGTTCACCCAATCCATAAAATAAAAGGAATGCTAGGAATGAATATCTAAACAAATTCATATTCAACATATTAAAAAATTATATATTGATGGAAATTATTGCACGATTCAACAATGCAGAGAAGATCCAAAAACAGTGCAGTTGCAAATTTACTGCTGCATTATGGCGCCCAAATATTTCATAATATGTTAAGTATGATATACACATATCTAGATCAAACCAAAATTGTACTAGTTAATAAATATTATTTAGAGTTTGTTCATTAAAGGAATAGCTGTTGCTACACCTTATACCTAGTTTACATTCAGCCCACATCCGTGGCAGTGAGCATAAAAATGGGCAGTGCGAGTATGTAAACACGTCACTCGCGCTGATTATGCTTCTCGCACTGACGCTCCCGTCAAGAGCGGTAAACTGAACAGCGCGAACAGCAACATAATCGGAAATGCGAGTACGTGTTTAAATTCTGTTCGAATTCAATTACTACATAATGTGACTGATCGAGTAGAATGTAAACACAGTCGCGCTCGTACTCCCTGTCAATTGCTGCTCATGCTGCTATAATTAGCAGGGCAATGTAAACACTCACTGCCGTCAACGCTTGTCACAGAAGTATTTTGAGAAGGCAGCGGCTGAATGTAAACTAGGTATTACATATTCTAGGCTGGGCGCCATTGCTGCAACATGCAGTCAGAACAATTACTTAAATTATATTACAGGTAATTCATTTTTTAGTGTTTTTAGTATTAAATTTAATGTATTCCATAAAATACCATTATAAATTATTATTACATGATATTAATTAATGTTAAGTGGTATAAATTAATTATGTTTTAGGAGCACCATACGCATCTGGCATTCTTTCAATGGTATATCTGAAAAAGTAATGAAATAATTAAAGGAAAATATTCAAAACCCACTTTATAGACTTACCTTCTTTGAGCAATATACATTATTGGCACTCCGGGAATTTTTCTAATACGTCGTTTTAAATCTCTATCACATGTAGCAACTATATAACATTTATGCTAAAATGAAAAAAAAAAAATTAGTTAAAATTTTAAAATGTTTAATTACAATTTTTTTTTATACAAATTGATCAAAACGATTTACTAACCTGGGTTACTCGTTGAACTAAACAATCATCAGCATATGTACCAGGATGCATACATTGTATTCTTTGGAAACGAGGATCTTTCACAATTTTCAGAGCTATTTTATACTTTTGTCCTAGTTTTTCCAATTCACCAACAATACAATCAGTGACGTACGGTATACCTGTCAATAAATAAATTAAAGATAATATACTTAAAATATTATGTACAAATAAAAAATAACAATTAGCTTACACTTAGCATATAAACAATCCATCATATTCTGAACAACATCCATTTTATATTTTATAGAAAAACTTATGAAGTTAGTATCTACCAAGATGTGATATGGTGGTCCTAATTGTGTGTTAAACTCAAAAAATAAAGCTGAACTTGTCTGAGCCCTAAAAATATAAAAAACTCAAAGGTGAGAAGATGATACTATCATAACATATTATTCCACAATTGTATTAATTACACTTGACGAACAGCAACAATTTTATTTTCGTTTTTCTTTTTTTTAATTATTGTTCTTTTTTCTTCTTTTCTAAATAAATATATTAGGTATTAATGATATACATAACTGTTGTATCACTGAATAATTGTATGATGGGTGTAATATTAATATAAAGTAGAGATTGGATATAATTTATAATTATGAAATTACATACATTCTAGAATCTGTAGGTTTAATCGTCTTCTTCATAACAGCAAATTGTTTGTTTAAAATTTTTTTACTTTTCTTTGTCTTTGTCTGTAAATAAATTATCATTAAAAATAATGTGAATTAATAATTAATAAAATATTAATGATATTATCAATGTTTTTCTTTGAACAATATTTACTAATTTTATAAATAATACTACTATACAGTATAAACATTGCATACTACTTAATATTTATATTATAAAATAATTAATAAAGTTAAAAAAACATTTACTTACCATTTTGGGTTGTCGAGTCAGTTGATTTCTGGATTTGGAACGGAAGAAAAATAAATGTAAAAAATGACTTATCAACCGATAAGTATACTATAGAGCCTGTGTTTGTGCTACTACAGTCTACAACTGTTAAACACGTGCTATCAAATCTGGCGAATGCTGTTATCAATAATTTCACCCCTCCCAAATCAAATTTTAATTGCCTATATAACTCCTTATTTTTTATATAAGGTATGGTGGGATGCGTGTGACCACTTTTTTTTAGTACCATTGTCATTAAATGGACTGTATTATTTATCAATTAAATATTTATCAGACATTATGTGAAAACTTCCAGAGGAAAAAAGAACTTTTTACCTTCACAACTTCTCACCTATATCGTGCGAAATGCCTATGCCCGTTTTTTTGTAACTAAAGTACTAAAATAAACTTAAGTATAACTACCGTGCAATTAAATATTTATGTGTTATAAATGATTTCACTAACTATGTTAGTCACATTTCACGTAGTTAACCGGAGATTTTGCAAAATTTCTCAAAATCCAGTTAAGCGTAACCGCTACGTAATCACGACCGCCCGAATTAGCCGATTAGCGTTGTCAAATATTTGTTTAATTTGTCGTCGATTTTGAAGTTCATTCGAGTGTTTTGCTTTAATTAATATTATAAAATGCTATAACGAGCTAATAAAAATGTTCTTCAAATGTGTTTTGAAGACGATGATGATATAGACGATTTCCAATTTTGCCTTCCTTATTTAATTTTCTAACTACGTTTTCAAGCTGTGGCTATAAGCATGTATAGATGATGCTGCTTCGAACTTTTAAATTATTTTCATTCATTCGGCATTTTTAAATTTTTTACTCACTCCGTTAATAACACCGAAGTGCTCAGTAACAATATTCAATAGAGTTTATGCTTCGGAGAACTCAAAAATGTATTCTCCCTTTCTTTTTAACGTGTTTTTCATTCTTTAATAATTAATAATTGATAAATAATAATAAATTAATAACTACAAAAACATAGAATATTATACACGTGAACAAAAAATATTAAGATATTAATTTGTTAGGTATCTAACGTCTAATGAACTAAACACTCCCATCACAAACTTGGCTTACAGGAAGTGTTGCAGATTGTATATGGTTTGCTTATAGTATGTGTAATAATTTTGCAAAAATAAATGTATTGTTAATTATTATATAGAGATAATTTTAGATTTAGAGCGTAGCGAGGTTTTACTATGATGTGTATTTCTTTTTTTTGTATTTTTTATGTCTATAGACAATTTTTCTAACAGAAAACTTGCTCTAAAGTATAGAATATAATAGCACCTTTCCTGAAAGTTAATTTTATCTCGCTGGTGCATTTGGAGGTCATTTTTTGATTTTCCGAAGGTTTTCGAAATAATTGGTAAAAACCCGAAAGAAAATAAATTATACGTAAAATGGCAAAAATTTGAGTTTAATGTAGTACCTATTTTTTTTTTTATAAAGGAATTTTAATATCGAAAATCGTTTAAGTATAAAATTATGTGGAATAAATATAGTTAATGGTCCATGTTCATTTTTCAATTTTTTATGTTTTTTGTTTTGAACACATTGCCAATTTAAAAATAACGATGGTGAAGTCAGATTTGAACGGACTAACTCAATTTCGAAATAATAGCTTTTTGAAGTTATTAAGAATATTTTGCGGATATTATAATAACTATTATTAAATAACTAATATTGTCATTTTTTTTGGATTTCTATTATAGTCTAGTTGTGGTATAAGTGCATGTTGTCATTACAGAGATCATAAGTTCAAACTTATTGTTTTACTACTTTTTTACATACAATATGGATATCCTTAAATTTGTAGTGGTCATTCAATTTGGGTGATTTGATAATATGAAATCAGCAGTACAGATTAAACATTTAAACAATATTTAAGTTAATTTATAAAACAATGATTTATAAAATTTGGATTTTGCCTGTATATACAGTTTTTTCTAAAGCCGACCCTGTTTAGAGATAATAAAATATATTCATTAGTATTCTTTAAAAGATGTTTATCCTAATATTGCATTCAGAATATTTTTAACTATACCAATGACAACTGCAACTTGTGGAAGAAGTTTTAGTAAACTAAAAATTATTGTGAACCAAGGTCTACAACCCATGTACAATCCATCCTCGTATTCCTAAATTCAACAGATTAGTCAGCCGCTAGATTTAACTGTTCCTAAACTCACTGCTGATCAATCCTAGAAAGGGAAGTGATTAATCGGATTGCTTTATTAGAAATTTGAAATTTTGTGAATGGAATAGTATTTATCCAGATGGATATGATACACAATTTACGTGCCAAAATCAAAAATAATTTACTAACCTATATTTGACAAAAAAAAAAAAACAACTATGCTGTATTAAAATTTGTTATGTCTAATGTGATAACGTGTTTCCAAATTCCAATTCTAACACTCGACACGAACTTAAATAATGCAATGAAAATACGGTTTTGTGTGCTGAAAATACTTTTATAAAACATATTTAAATGCTGCTTCGATTTGAATTTGTATATATCATGTAATCCTAGTATGTATAGGTAATTAGATACCTATATTATATTTTATTGTAACTTTTACTCATATGTTTTATAATTATAGATCTCGATGAAAAATGATAAGAATAAAATATTGGTGACTATGGCCTATGGGTGACCTTAAATAATAGTACCAACCAATATGTTTCAACTGAATAACAAAAAAATTGTTACTAAACTTTATCAACGGAGGAACACATAGGACAAATTGACAAATATGGGTGTTACATCGATTGAACGTGAATTGATTTACGAAAATCAATTTTTAAAATGTTATAGATAAATTTAAAACTTTATATAAATTTAATGTTTTTATAAATATTAATTATTGTACATTTTTTATGAACCCCTCCCCCGAGTTTTTTTTTGTGTACGTGTCTAGTTATCACTTATAACTTGTCAATCATTTATCATATAATTTAAATAACAGTTACCTAACAAGTAAAAATATATATAAAAACACAAAAATATCAAAAACCTATAAATTACATAAAAGTAGCTCGAATATTTTGAAAATGTTACCACATCTATAAAAAGCCAATATAAGTATTTTGTAAAAACTTTAGGTCTCTACAATTTTTTTAACTGAATAACAACAAAAAACCCAAAATCGGTATAGTTATATTTTGCCATATTTCCTTCGTATTTCCCGGTTTTTCGTAATTGTTAGGAAAACTATACAGAAAATCAAACAACAACTTTCTTACTCACGAACTAAACAATTTTTTTTCAGAAAATATGCTATTCTTAGAATTTGGACAAAATGGTAGGAAAATATAATCTTGAATTCTTAACAATTTTAAACAATGCTCCGTAATTTGAAAAAAAATAGTATTTTTCGTCTGTTTTGGTTTTACCCAATTATTATGAATATTACTTGAAATATTAAAAAACGACATTCTTTGACAGTGGATGTATATTTAAAGGTATAAAATCGATCTCTGATCATTTTTCGTTTGAAGCAATAATTCTGGTAAACAACATACGAGTAGTTTCGAGTATAGTTCGAAAAAATTAAAAACAATGAAATCGGTAATGTCACGGCACGCCGTAAATATTTGCCGTTTTATCTTTTACCTACTATTTCGTTTCCGGTTTTCTTCAATTATTTTAAAATCACACAATTATCTTTAAGAAAAGGTGCTTCACACTCTATGCATCGGAACTAAGATTTTTTTTCGAAAAGTCGTTTACAGAAAAAAAAATATAAAATACACATCATATTATTTAAAATCAATCGATCCGATCCGCTCCGCTCCGAATCTAAAAAAATAATAATAAAAGTCGCTGTATATAATATTATAATAAGGTGTATAAACATAGTAGGTATGTGTGGTCTATTTTAGCGGTGGGGTCTGGTCCGGCCCTTGCCCGTTCATTTACACTTCCCTTCCTTCGATCCATCCGTTTACGACCGTAGTGTATGCATTGTACGTATTCATTCACAAAACACCGTCACTACCGCCGCCGCCGCGTCCCGTCCATATCCGAGGGGTTCTTTGTGCGTTTGGCGGAGCGACAACACCAAAAACGGGGTAAACAGCAATACGCTTTTGTTGCCGCCCGGTAGCATATTCGCATACTGCACCCGGTTAAAAACCCAGTCGATTGTTATGCTTTATCCGAAATGTAATTGTGTTTAAATACTTATCACCGTGATATTGATGGTGTCTCGATGGTTTAACGCGGCAACTGTTTGCTTTACGGTACTGAGTTCGATTTCGACTAATAACGTACACGTTTTGTGAGGTTTTTTCTTCATGTTTTATCTCCTGATCTATTCGACGTGGTTTCGCATATCAAATTATGGTTTATTTTAGATCCCGAACGGAGCAAGGAATGTATTAGTATTATAGTGATGTTTATTTTTTTTTCTGTGATCAACTTTTCTATTTGAAATCTTACTCCGATTTTGAAGTGTAACACTTTGTTTGAAAAGCCCTTTTTCTATTTTCAATTTTGTTTTTTTGTTGCGATTTAGTTTAAAATATTTGTAGACTTATTTGGACTGAACACTTACATATGTCTTTTTTTGACATGGTAAAATTTTCAAACGTTCTAAAATGTGGTTAACTATTTTTGAACTATTTATGGTCATTTTAATATTGCGAGTTTTTTACGTACATTTTTATTTGATAGGTACTCTGTGTCTCTGTGGATAAAATTGTTAGACCGAGCAGAAATGTTTGAAAATTTAACAGGAGGTTCATTATAAGCCATACTGTGATAAAAAAAAAAAAAAAAAAAATAGTGTAATGTATACATTTTTTTTTTATAAGAATTTTAATACCTATACAATTTTGACGAAAATCGTAAATATTACAGCATTTAAAAACATATAGGTATAACCGAACTTCAATCAGAATTGTTTTTCGTTATCAATGTTTAATCGTTGCATATATAGATATACATTAAACTGTCCTATATATCCTATTTTCCCAACCACTCACCTACAACAGTGGCCTACCTATCGTGCGAAGTATGTCCATATTTTTAAAATTATTTCTCGATAAATAAGTTCCAATATAATTTTTTATTTTTCGATTAATAATCCGATATGGACGAGTGTATAGAGGTTGTTGTATAATGGTCAAATATATTACGGATTGATAACGTGCGTGTTTGTCGATACATGCATATCGGATTATCGGTGAAGCATACTAGCAACGGATCCAAAATCGGGTGTAGTGTGTTAATATGCCACCCGGTCATATGGCTTGAGACGGTGCGGTTATCAATGAATTGTTATCGCACGATTCCGCGGAGTAAGCGAATCGTGCCAATGGGCCGAACGTTGCGACGGCGTTGTCCAGTATAGTGCCAATATCGAGGGTGAATTGATTTGTGTCCAGCTTGACGGGCGCGACAGTGCGAATGTGCAAATATTCAGTGGTTGATTCATTGCTCAAAAGAAGGCCAATAATTAAATGACATTTTTAATTTGTTTGTTTTATATCTTTCGATATCTCTGTACTACACACCGTTGCCTATTTATTGTAGGCGGTACGCGTTATTTAATTCTGAGTCGTTAACCCGATATTTCGTAACGTCTTAAAGTAGCATTTAGACAAATTGTCTAGGTAGGGAAATGTCCTTTTTAAAATCAAAAAATTCTGTCACCGCGGACTACAGGGGTTCTGTTCGGGCGCTCGCGGTCAGCTGGACGCCAAGCGCGCGCGCGCGTACACACACACACACACTCTCAGCCCTGTCTCGCATAAACACGCGCGCTCGTACGCCGGTGGCGGCGAGGCCGTGACCGACGACTGTCGGAGCTGCGGAGGTGGCGTATCCGCCGGTTGGAGGGCGGGGGCGGAGAGCCGGGCGTAGTAAAATTTATATAACAACGGGATTTACTATAATATTCTATGTGTGTGTGCGGTGTGTGTTATTACGCTGAAGGTGTACTGCACGGGGCGTGCGCGAGTCCTTTGTGCGCAACGTAGGTGAGCGGACGGGCGGGCAGGTCGGTCTCGGCTGGCTCACGGCGCACGATCTGCTGCCGCCGCGGCCGCTCGGTTTTTACGCATCTCCCAGGCGCGAGTGGCGAACAGTACGAGCTCAGCGTTCCGCCGATCGTCGATTGCGTCGTATTTACCACGCGTGCCTTTTGAGCCGCCACGACGTCTGGCCTAGCACAATAAATGCGATATTATAGCTGCAGTTTATTACAACGCGGTGTTTCAATGTATATTCGGTACAACGATAATAATAATAATAATAATATTAATATATCCCTATGATTATTTAACTCTGGCATAGTATACTTACCGCCGTTTAGTACATTAAATTATAATATTATTATTATACTACCCGGAGGGACTGCGGTCGTCGTTCGGAAAATATCTGTTAGGAAAAGCGACTCAACAATGGTTGTAATCGTAACGATTTCATTGTCGACGAACGGCGAACCGCTGCGGTGGCATACGACGACGTCGTTGTAAACATCGGAAGTTTAGTGAGTGCGAGCGATTCGGCTCCCGAAACCCGAGAAGGGTTGGTTGATTGACCGGTGGCGAATGATGCTCAAATTTGTCACGCACAAACTGAAGACTCAAAGCCTCGAAGATCATCGAAGATCTGCAAAGGTAAACCTACAAATATTATTGTGTATTTAAAACCACACAAATAAAAAATACGGTGTAATATTTTGTGTATTTTTGTTATATCCCTATAAATTTAATAAATAATAGAAATCGTATTATTTTAAGTATTAATATTGCTACGAAATATTAATAGAGCGGTATGATTTTAGTAGTATTAATAATAGTAGTAGTATTGTCGGCGATTCAGGATGAAAGAAAAATCAGTAAATAGTAGGTAGTACTGTAGTAGGCAGTACTGTAGTAGTAGTAGTAGTAGTAGTAGTAGTAGTAGTAGTAGTATTAACAATAATTGCACCTAGTATTAGTTACAAAGTAGTATGTATATATGTATATTTACTATTATTATTATTTTTTTTTTCTGATAACGTTACGGTGTACACAAAGCCGTCCCCTCGCCCGTTGTACGATCACCCCTTCCGCGACCGCCGACTACATTGTCGTCGGTCACCCCCTCCGAGAACAAAGGAACGCGAGCTGCACGTCGTTTGTGTGCGTGACATTCCTCTCCGCCGCCGACGCCGCCGCCGCCGACACGCTTTATACTACGCTACATTGGCGCGCGTATGTGTGCGTGTGCGTATTCATCAGCTGATTGTGTGTGAGCGCGCGCGCGTATCTCACTGATAGTATGCGACCGCACTACCACAACGGCGGCGGGCGGCGGGCGACCGAATCGTATACAACTCACTCGGTGCACCGTCTATTTTTAATCTAATACCATAATAATATTAACCGCGCGCGCGCTCGCGCGTGTGTGTGTGAGAGAGTGCGATGCTAATAACCGGCAACAACATTATGATAACGACGAAAGCAATGATCCGGCGACGACGGCGGTAATCGTGATCGCGGCGACTGGTCGTAATACTATACTCGTACTACTCGTAGTAACCGTAGTAAACGACTGCGCGACCGATCGCGTCCCGTCGAGTTTTCTCGTATGTCCGTCCGAATGAAAAAAAAAATTACAATCCCGCAATACAATTGACTGTATTATTATCGTTTTCATTTTTGCTATTGTTACATTATTTTTTCAAATAAACGTAATCGCCTTATATCACGTTTGTTGTAGTGGGTATAATATTATTATAAATAATAATAATAACAATAATAATATTGTAACATGTAAACACGCCGGACGGTCGTAATTATATTCGGTACCTGTATAGTACCTACCTGCAGCTACGGTGACCTTTACGTCGACGTCGTCCTAGCCGCCGCCGCCGCCGTGCGCGTGTCATCTGTAGTTGTTGTAGTCGTATCCTAGTAGCGTAGCGTCGGTCGGCCAGTCGCTGTTTGTCGTAGTTGCCGGCCGCAGATTTCGATAGAGAGACGTCGTTTTTTTACGTTAATTATTATCGTACGTTATTATTACTAATAATAATAATATCGCGGTGGTTATCGTCGTCTCGTCATCGTTGTTGTTGTCGTCGTCGCCGCCGTTCCGAGGTGAATAATAATTTCTGCTGCTTGACGTTACGTTATAATAATTGTATTATACCAATTATAATTATAATAATATTATTATACTACCTATTCGATCGGCAGAAAAAAAAATATAAAAAACTAATTAATAATAATATTATATTTATTATATTTTGTTGTGATTATCATTGCCCCGTGATTATTATGAAATATAAATAGGTACAACTGCTGACGGTTCCCGGAAAGGCGCCGTGTTCATTTTCCGAAAAAAAAAACCTATAAAAGCGTGTACCTATAATAATACTTACCCACCTTTGATTTTGTGACGATGTTGCATTGCAAATTGACTTTAATTGTTTGTGCCCGACAATGTGTAGTATGTTGGTGGACAAACGATTCCTAATGAATTTATTTTTGTTACATAATATACACTTATATTATTTAGTACATTGGCTCGTTCGGGAATTATAAAGTTTTTTAAAATGCGATTAGATCGTGGCAATCAATCATATTTTTAATATTAAATTCTCATTAAAATAGATTTTATTATTGACGATAGAAAATGCATGGTTGCAACCTACCAACAAATTTTGAATTGAAAGTTAACAAAATGGTATATATTCTAAAAAATCTTAAAAATAGAATATAATGAAATTAAATTAAGATTGCTAATACATTATATTGCATTAAATATTTATACCTAATAGGTTGTATCTATATATTAAAATTAATTTGTTTAGTTTTTAACTGGGGTATAATGGACAAATTATAGATACATAGCATCTTGATATTAATTTGCCTAATATTTTGAACAATATTTTTTCTTAATATCATCATTGCTTACCTATTTATTTGTCAACTTGTGATTACCAATAATGTTTTCTACCTTTTTGAAATTTTTTTAGTTAAGTATATTGGAATTATTAAGTAATGTGTTCTTGTTATTGAAGTCTGTATGATATAATAATATTAAGACATACTGATTTTCTATAACAGAAATAATTTATTTAGATTTGTATTATAACCATAAATCGACTAATTGTCAGAGATTTTTTTTACATTATTTAAATAATATTGTGTGACAATATACTTACTGTATAGTGTATGATATGTTACTGTAAATGCATAATGATATTTTATACACAGACCAAAGAATATGAATTATGTGGTAATATAAATAATATAAACCATAATATATTTCAATTATGTTTCATTTTTAACACTACCTATTTAATATCAGTGGATTTATTTTCATTAATTGTTCACTAATATACCTATTTTATACTACCTACCTAGATAATAACTTCCAAATGTCTAAAAACCTAACTATTTAGGGTAGGTCACTCTCGTCTTAAGCTTCTTCTTGATCTGATCTCTCACCTTACTTACAACGACTGTCCTCGTATCTTTTCAATTGTATTCAACCACCTCTTTTTTGGTCATCCTCTTCCCCCTTTCCTGCTATATTTATTTTCATTACAATTCTTACTGCTTCAGACTCCTCTCTCCTCATGATATGCTAAAATCATCTCAAACTATTTTCTCTCATTTTGTCTACTATTAAAGCCACTCTTAAGCTTATAATTAATGTGTTATTATTTTAAAAATATGTTTAGAAAGTAGGTTAATTGATTTTCAAATTTCAAATATAAATGATAATAGTTTAGGTTATAGTAGCTACATGTAAATTACCTACATAATATTATTTTTGATTTGTTTTTCTGAAGTAGGTAAGTATTTATAGAATATTGTTTAATTAATAAACATTTGTTGAGATTAAATGTATGCACTTATTTTTAGTTGATTAATATTTTATTAACAGTTACATGTTGTCTAACAAAAAGTAAATAATAAAATGTTATTATTAAACAATTATTATCATTTGATTTCTGTACTATTTAAGTGTAATTTTCTACTAATAAATACTTAATTAAATACATTTAGGAAGGGTACCTATCTATATTGATAGATATTATTTTAATTAGTTATTATTTTTACTCACATGATTAAATGTTTAGTTCAAGTCGATTATGTAATGTTACACAAATTAAACAATTTTATTCTATGCATTATATATTTTTGTCAATCTTTTTATTTCAATAGTACATAGAGAAAAACAAATATTTTAATTATTAATATTATGTCACAACATAAGTGGGTACTTTAAGTTATTTGATTAGGGTTTGCTTATTTTATAGTGATATTTCTTGAATACTTATTATTCAGTCAATTGCTTCCAAAACAAAATTAAATCATTATCCAATATTAAATGTAATTTCTTAAGCATGTTTTTATCCTTTGTAAGTAGAAAAGGTTCTTTCTGATGTAATTGTATGGCAAGCAGGGATGTAAAATGTTTAGTTATACAGAAAAAGATAAAGTGGATATGAGAGGATATGACATATTCATATCTGGGAGAGGGGGTATGAATAAGGGGGCCCTGTGCATGTCGCTGGCTGCAGTCGGACTTGGTTAGTTTTTTCTGGTAGTACAAAAATAAAATTCAATTTAGAATTTGGTAACGAAAAAAAAAAAATTAAAAATGTTTTAATCCTAAAGTGTGATTAAAATCATAATACTAAAAAATAAATCAACATAATACCTTATAAGATCTTGTTTGGCTAAACTCTTTTGTAGACAGTTGATAATTTGAACTATGGTATTATATTATGGTTGAATTGTGTGGTTTGTTACAAGAAAGGCAGGTCAACATAAAAAAAAACTTTTATATAAATACATTGAAAACTGGAATTTGCAAAAAAAAAATTTATTTTTAAAAATCTAATCTATAATTATTGTATTACATTTTCTTTTCTTGATATTAATGCATATTCTTGATGCAAGCCACATAATTGTATTAGGCAATAACTAATATTTTGATGCATTTGGTTTTTTATTTCGCCTATTTTCAAGATAGATGAAAACCGCAGATAAATTGTTTCCTCGAAATTATCATTGTTTTTATTATTTAGTTTTCATAAACTACAAACATAACTACCTACATTGATTATTCACTTATATACACTAAGTTGATAAATTCTAAATATTATAGAGTTGGTATAGTTTTATTTTCTATATTTTAATAATGAGCCACACATTTTTATTTTTAAGTTATAATTATAAAATGGTTCTAAAATGCGATTTTTGCAAGATGATTAAAAACAAAAGAAACCTTTCAAAGTCTTTCACAAGTTCAGATTTGGGGTCTACATATCCTAAAGGTTTAACGCAAGAGAAAATGTATTTTTATGGATATTATGTATTATCTATTATAATCATTTTTTAATTTTATTTTTGTATTTTTTTATTTATAGTTAAAAACTATTGACCACGATTCTGGTACTGAGTCTGACGACGAGCACAGTCCAGACAGAGAACCTAAAATTACAAAGCAAAGTGTAACTAAATCTACTCGATGTAAGTTATTAAATTAAAACCTTTAGGTACTTAATTTGATTTAATTACTTTTTGCATTTGGAACTTTTTATGTATTTTTTAATATATTACTAAATAAACCACAAAGTAAATTATGAAGGGATATTTTCAAATTTTAGTGAATAATACACTTGCTCTAAATTAGATTAATTTATTGATACTTATTTTCTATTTAAGCTTCATATTTATATAATTTTTTATTATCTTGCTCAAATTAAAATATTTTTAAAAAGTTAAATAGCACTAATTTAAACAAGTTAATTGTTTATTTATCATGTTTATTTGTATTTAAAATTAGTTTTCAATATTTAAGTTTAGTTTAGATACTTAAACCAACATTTAATTATTTTAATGTATTAAATAGCTATGTTTTTTAACTATTTTATGGAAGTAGATAATAATAATTAGTTTTTAATGAATTTTTACATTTTTAATTTTTGTATTTATTAACTTGAATATGTAAAAAAAACATCCTCATGTGGGTGAGAAGTTGGGAAGGTAGGATATATAGGACAATTTAATGTATATCTTTATATGCAACGATTAATCATTGATAACGAAAAATAGCTCTGAGCTGAGTCAGGTTATATGTTTTGAAAGGCCGTAATATTTACGATTTTCGTAAAAATTTGATGTTAAAATTCTTATAAAAAAAAAATTCTATTTTACACTGAATTTATTAACCTCAAAGTACAAACCTCCTGTTTAATTTTCAAGCATTTCTGTGGGTCTAACAGTTTTATCCACAGAGTAGGTACCTACCAAATAAAAATTACGTATAAAATTTGTAAAATTTAAATGTCTTTAAATAGTTCAAAAAATCGTTAAAATTTATAAAATTTTACCACGTTTTAAAAAAGCAAAATATAAGAATGAATATTTTTATCCTAATTACAAAAAAAAAAAATTAAATTAAAAATACCACATTTTGTATATTTTCCCATTTTTCTTATTTTTTTTCCCCGATTTTTCCATTTATTATTAAAACCCCTTGAAAAATCAAAATTTAATCTAACCGTAAAGAAATCAGATAAGTTTTTTACAGAAGTAAAGGAAAACAAATATCATTGTAAAACCAATATATTACTAATTTCTATCAGAATCTAAAATTTTAATAGTTCAATCTTTAAAAAAAAGATTATTTGAATAAAACTGTAATATTTGTTTTTGTAAATTAAAAATGTATTATGTTGTATTATTAAATTATTATTAATATTTATATTATAATTCATTACTAATTGTCTACTTTTAACCAAAAGGTAATGTTACTTATCTGTTATAACAATCATGTTATTGCTTATATTTACATTAATGTTTTACCTAACCATTGTGATTAAAATTAATTAGTTACCTTTAAAATTACACTATAATTCATTTATAACTATTAAATTTAATAATACATATACATGTTATTTTTTGTTTAAGATTTTAAAACATTTACTAATGAGATGTTTTGATTCTATGTAATTATTTAATTTTAAAAATGTTGTATTCAATTTATATTTAAAAGGTATTCTGAATTGAAGAATTTAAAATAAATTTCACATACTTGTCAAGGTTTAAAATGAAGATAATATTTAAAAACTTTTTTTTTTTATATACATATGCATACTGCATTGCATTTATACATATTTTTTCCCTTCATATTTTAAAAACTATTGAAGCATGAAAGGTTTTTTTTTAAATTTTTGTTTGCATATATGCTATGCTTTTATTGGAGTACCATACCTCAAACTCTTTACAACACTTGACCTAACTGATACAAAAGAACTGTTCTGCATTCTCAATCATCCCTCTACGATTATTTCACTAATACTCAACATTTTTCACTCTGCTAACACCCTGTTATTTATTATTATTTTTATTATTTCTCATTTTCTCTCTTTAAAAAAAAAATTAAACTTTCAAGTAAGTATACTGTAAGGTTGGGTATGTGTATGTACTGTATTCACCATACTTAAAATGTATTGAAACATATTATAATATAATACACTCTATATTATGTTTATTTTCAGTTTTATTATTTAGAATGGTAATAATTTAATTAAAACATAACATGTTATAGTAATAATATATTTTATTGTTTATTAAAAACTAATGTAGTTTAAGTAGGAAAAAAAAATAAAAATGAATAATTATAAAACAAAATAGGTATAAACCTATTATATATTATAATTATTATTTTGTATGATATATATATACAATGATAGCCTTTTCCAAAATTGATGTGAAATTTAGTTTGATTTTTTTTTAATAGTGATGGAGAACATTGGGAATGAAGATATGGTTGGTGATATGGAGCCCACAAGGTCGTCGAGCAGTGGTCGCAGCAGTGTTGCAACTCCTGGCCCTTCCCCATATTTTTTAGACTCTGCTCTACCTAGTGACTGTGATCAACACAGTTCAGAAGAAGAGTTAGAAGTTATAAATAGTAATCCTGAAGCATTAATTCAAGTTGAATTACCGACACCTGATCCAGATGAAGCAAATTCCTGTGGTGTTCCTGAAAACTCTGTAGCATCTTTAGCTCGTAAACGTTGTAGATCTGCTAGTGAAGCTGGTTGTGGAAACACTATAGCTATTAACTGGTCTGGTTCTTCTGATGATGAGGTACAAGGACTTATGTCAACCAGACCAACTCCATTAAAATTTTGTGCATCACCTCCATCTCATGTGCACAAACCAGGACAGTGTACTGTATCCTCTTCACCACCTTTAAAATTAGTACATTTGTCACCTAGGCAATCTGTATCCCTGCCAAATACATCTCCACGTAAACGTCATAGAACAAGACATCATCTTACTCGAAATGTGCAAAGGCCGTGCTTAGATTTCGAAAAAATGCAACAGGTATAAATACTACTATATTATTAGTTCTATACTCTAAAAAATATATTTTATAGACAAACATATTGTCTAGGATTTTACAGATATTTTATTTTAAATTAGGATTTAGATATAATTGTATTTTATTGTAGATAAGAGCTTAACCATTTACTTTAAATTAAAAAACTAGACATACTTTGCATGATGGGTGTGCCACTGATGTAGGTGAGAAGGTAGAGGAGAATATAATGTATATTCGTATCAATAATCAACAATTGGTAAACGAAAATCGATTCTGAGCGGATTTTGGTTATATATTCTTTGAAAACCTGTAATATTTACGATTTTAATTAATATATTTCATACATTTTCCTGGGTTTTTCCATTTATTATGAAAACTACTTGAAAATTAAAAAATGACCTCCTTCAAGTACCACCATAATCAACTTTTTATTTAGAAAAGGTGATACATTTAAAAATCGGAGTAAAATTTCTGGGAAAAAGTTGTTTACCAACACATAATAAAACCAATACATTCTTCACTCTTAGAATCTAAAATTCTCAATTCTCAAAATTTATAATTTTACAATTGATTTACATACCTATACAATTTAAGGATATTTTGTATATATTATACCTGTTTGGATTTTATTATTTTCTGTGACGAAAAAAATATTCACCTGCGATTGAAGATGTTTACATTTTTACTCTTAAATAGTTTTATATCATTTATTTTAACACGACCTACGGTGTCCTGTTATAAAATCAAAAGAAAAACGTGTTCGATTATAATTGAAAATGTATCAACATTTAACTCTCGATTAATTTGGGAATAGATCCCATGATACTAGAATAGTTCCCATGACAAATACTCTACAAGATAGTACTCATTGTTGGCCCATGTAATATGGTATGAGTGGTGTAAAATGAATGAGCATTTTGTTCTATAAGCAAATGAGATCCATCAGAAAATAAATTATTTTAATATGTTTATTTACTCATGAGGACGACAAGAATGTATACTCATACAATTGAACATTTCTGGCGAGTTTCTGTGTATAAGAGTTGTCTCCCAAAATATACGAATTATCTCCCATCCTTATCGTAAATAAAAAGGTTAATATACATTATAGTTACTTCCGTTGAATAAGTAGTTCATAATTATATACGAATCGCCTTCTTAAAGTTGCCTCCTACATAAAATAAAGCAGTGGTTAGATTATAAACTGAAGTGAATTGAATTTAGTATAAATTAATATAATATTTATAATTTTATTGTTGGACAAATTTTTTTACAATTAAAAAAATCAGTCTTAAAAATAATAACATAGTTGGTTAATAAAAACACAATATGGTAATAAATTTTAAATCTAAAATAAGCCGGGCAATTCACACGTTGGTGGACCACTGTTATTGGTGAGAAATTGAGGTAGTAGAAGAGGGAAAATTTAATGTATATCTGTAAGAAATGATAAACTATTGCTAATGAAAAAACGATTCTGAGGGGAGTTCAGTTAATAGTATTGTTTGTAAACAATATATATGTCATATGGTAAAATAATTACAGAGGTATTATATATTTTCTTTAATAATATTTGTTTAATATTGTATCTATTTTCCCGTTTTTCCCATTTATTGAGAAAACTCCTTGGAAAATCAAAAAAATACCTGCTTAAAGTACTTCCACATTCAGATGTACTTTTAGAAAAAGTGCTCTCATTGTAAATTGGAACAAAACTACTGGTTTACATATTTGTAAAACCATAAGCTTCTTCGCTCCACTCATTATCTAAAATATAATATTATTAAAATTTATTATTTTATTTTCATTCAACTATTTTATTTAAGTAGTAGTGAAATCGATTTTACTTCTAATTTGTAATGATGCACGTGTTTTATAGGCTTATTTGAATTTTGTGTTAAGTCTCGTTCTGAATTAATATTAATAAATGAATAAATGTAAATGTATTAGGATATGGAGACTTAAAATAGCTATTAAATTTGCTATGAAAAGGTTCACATGCATTGTGCGCTAAATGCTGAAACTTCTTTCTATCCATAAATTAAGAGGGCATTGTTTGTATGTATCTATAAAATCTACAAATCTAGTAATCATTAATTTTATCATCTTAAGGCTGTGTGGTTGCTTCATAGCTAGTTCCATTGTAAACATATCTCCGACTTCCGCCGGGTTCAAGAACGATAACTCAAATATGCTCGTTATATATTGTCTAATAGAATCGTTATTAGAGTTATCATTAAATTACAATTTTAAACAATTCTATATATTGATACATGCTGTTTGAACATTTTTTAATCGTTTATGAACCACTTGTATATTTATTACCTCTCTATTTGGAGGCAAATAGTTGTATACCTACCCTTTTCGTTTACGATAAAATTTAGAGTATGCCAGGAGGTAACTCGTATATATCCCGGGAGGCGATTCGTAAAAAATTCGACCTTTTTGACCTCGGGATGCGACTAGTATGCGCCCGCGAGTATAATAATACACAGGTATAAAACAAACTGGTTTTGTTCAAGCAACTGTTAACTACAATTATTATAACACTACAACTTTGTAGTCTTCTATAGTAGAGCTTATAACAAGAATTTAGAATGAATGTGAGAAAGTATGAAAAGAAATAAAGTAGGTCCAACAGAAAACTATTTCTAGAAACTATGTTACATTGCAAAGTTCGTGTAAGGTCAAATAAATGCAATCCATTTAATGTTTTTATCGAGTAACATAAACTTAAATATAAAATTCATTAAGCTTCCCAATTCCTAGTCTAGATATAAAATTGTTATTAACTTGTGAGAGCCAACTCATAAACAGTATAATATTTGATATAAGTATTATGCATATCAACTACCCGCATTTAAAAAAAAAATATATTCTCTTTTCAAATCTGTAACAAAAATATATGATATATATATATATAAATAGATATTTGAAAATAATAATTTGATATGTTTAAAAATAATTTACGAAATAAGCATACAATTTTAAAAATATTGTAAATAAGATAATTAAACAATTCTTTAATAATGAGTGAAAAATTCCAAAATCAATTTTACTCACAATTTTCGTAAATAATCGCTAGATCACGATAAAAGAATCACTTTTTTTTGAAAATAACAATAAATATGATGTCATAGATTCTAGATAGTGATTGTGATTATTAAAAATGAAATTTATCTTATGAAGTTATTGTCTATGTAAGATATAGGGATGTGTAGTAATAACTGTTTATTTTGTATCAACCTAGGACAAACCACCTTTAAAATTGTTGTAACCAGTACCTAGTCATTATAAAATGTAATATATTCGATCAATAATTTTATGTGTAGAATCGTTGTTTTTTTCTGTATTCCTTATAAATAATAACCTTTAAATGTGCTACGTGTTTTGAAATTTGTTGAATATCATATGTGTATTGGTATTTATTGATTTTTGTCAGAATTTTTTCATTGACTCGTATTTATCGAGGTTACTCTAGTGCGTCCCAATAAAAAAAGGTCATTTTTGCAAAGTAGCCCGAATGCATTCCAGTTCATTTAGAGTTACCCATAGTACATCACAAAATGTTTGTTTATTTTTTATATTTTGTGTTGTATTGGTATTATTTTTATATTTTTTTTATACTAATTCATTTAGGGTGAGTATAATAATTTTATTATACTAAAGTTTTACTAAAAATGTATTATAAAAGGCTGATGTTCTTACAGTGTTGGCTTTTTAACATGTTATCTGGCAATGACATTTTTTGAAAAATTTGAAGATAAAGATAAAGTACTATTTTGGTATTAGATACAACAAAAATTACGGTACTGCTTCGTTTTTTCGTTCACTAGAAGACTACACGACTTCTAGCCGTAGTCACTAGTCTAGCTTAGTTATTATCAAAGTTAAAATAAAAATTTGTTTCAGCTACGGATAATTTATCATACGAGTATACGACTGTGGACAAACTCGGTCAATTTAATTTAATTTATGAGATTGCGTACGAACTCGGATTATGAAAATGTAAAAATTTTAAACGGGATAAACTCGAGATGTCCCCGTATTTATAATCATAGATACATGTGAGAAGATACTCAAATTTGTGGTGATTACGAAACTTATTGATTCATAATTATTTAATAATTTGCGATCATTCTCTCTTTACTACTATGCTTATATTTTTTGTTGAGTTTATTTAGTTTAATATTAAACTAAAATATGTTATGCCAGGTTTTTTAAATTATTAAGCAAATATTGATTCATACATGACACATACATAGCTATAGCTATAATATGTTGGAATAATTTGCCATATTCTACAATTGAATACTGAATGAAACCAGAAATTTTTTTATAATTTTATGTTTAACGATTATTATTTATTTCTATTGTAATCTATTATTATTCAATTACTATCAATAATTGTTATCTTTTGTTATCTTGAAAACCATGTTTGGGTTGTCACTAATGTCACCCAACAACTTTTTAGTTTGATTTCTTTTAATTTAATATAAAGAAGTATAATTGCTCTGTTAAGAGTATATTAATTATTTTAATTTTTTTTAAATTTACTGAAATCTTTATTTGTGGAATTTCATTATTACTTTTAAAACCAATATTTAAAAATAATCCTTACCAAATGGACATAGTTCGCACGGTGGATGGGCCACTGTTGTAAGTGAGAAGTTGCGACGATTAATCTTTTTTTAACGAAAAACGATTCTGAGCGGAGTTTGGTTATACATGTTTAATATTGCCGTAATATTTACGATTTTAAAATAATACATTTCGTACGTTTTCCCGTTTATTCCAAATTTTTTTCCCATTTATTATGAAAATGACTGAAAAAAAATCAATAAAGTACCACCCAAGTCGTATTTTCTTTACTTGAAAATCAGATCAAAATTGCTAGTAGAAAAGTTGACTATAAAAAAAAAAAACCAATACTTTAAACAAAATACAATACAATGTTTACCTCTGTATCTAACCTTCCCATAGCCAATTTTTCAATTTTAGATTCTGAGCGAGGAATGTATTGGTTTTAAAATTATTTATTTTTTTCTGTGAATAACTTTTCTACTAGAAACCTTGTTCCAATTATTAACTGTACCACCTTTTCTAAAAGAAAAGGTTATTTTTTGATTTTCCTAAAGGTTTTCATAATTAATATGAAAAACCAGGAAAAAACGTAGGAAAATGTATGAAATGCAATATTTTTATATCGCAAATATTAAGGCTTTTCAAAACATTTATAATCCGAACTCTCCTGAGAATCGTTTTTTGTTAACAATGATTAATCGTTGCGTACAAATAGAATAGTAGATTAAATTTTCCCACTACTATTTAACTTTTCACCTACACAGTGGCCCAACAATTGTGCATAACACTGTTAGTCGCTATGTTTAGCCAAACTTTGTTCAGAATCTTTTTTTCGTTGGTCTTGATTTATCATTGCGTACAGATTACAGATATAAATTAAATTATTCGTATTTTTTTACCTTCTAAAATTCACACTTACATCGGTGGCACACCAGTTCTGCCGGCAGTATCACTTTTTTTTTAACAATATATCCTAATAGCCTTATATAATGAAGTTCATAGTCATTGATTATTATCAAATAATAAGAATTTAAGAGCTAATTTTAAATCTGATTGATAGTGTACGTGTAATCAAACCGGTGACCATTACCCGCAGTATTCATGCACCTATAGAAAATATTATTCTTCATTATCTATATTGTTCATGATGTTTTAAATTTACCATTTTATTAAGATCTAAAGACCTTTCGATCCTTGTCATACTTTTAAATAATAATCATACTGACTTAAAAATAAACAGTAGAAGAAACTGCAAAAATACTATACAAATGTATCTTTAATCATAATTATTATGAAAACGAAGAATTATTTTATAGTTTGATCCAAAATATGTGTATTTAGAATTTATATAATACATATAGTAAAAAATTATTCTGTTTTTTACCTCGTTTAATTGAAATGTGGTTTTATATTATATGCTTTACCTTTTATATTAATCATTCCTGTTGTTGTCTTGTCACCATAGTTACTTCAAAGTAAACGTCATGTTTAAATCTCTGGTTTTAATTTTGTTTTTCTGTATTTTTAAAAACAAATTTCAAAATAATTTCGCTCTAAAAATATCAAAATTATCAATATTAAATTACAGTTTTTCGTTGATTTGTTAGAGTTAAGTATTTAATTAATAAATATTTATTCACTATCTAGTGCTCTAGTTGAATTTGATATTTATCATAATTGTTTTTAAATGATAATTTACTATTATATTTACTTCTGTTGCAAAATTGATGTTATTAGATGTTCATTAAGTAATTATTATTATAGAACTAATGTTTTGTTTTAATTGTAATTTTATTATAATATTTTCAAATTGCAGATTAATGAATTATTACTGTTATAAAAATGGTACCTATTTCTCTTATTAAAACTAATTGTTCGCATCAATTTTATAGTAATCATATTATAATGAATAGATTCTATATTATACAATATACAAAGAATGATGTTTTCGTTTTTACAATTTGTGTCTTAGGCATAATTTTCTATAACTTGGTGAAACTTCTTAAGAGTTAAGTTATTAGCTCGCTAGTATAATAGATAAAACAAAAAAGATCCATATTGTTATTCACGTTCAATTTTATTCAGAAAAAATCTAAAAGAAATACAAATTTCGCCCTGTGGTTTTTAAATGCGATCACTTATAGATGATAGATATGACATTGTCTTTTGAAAATCGATCGTTATTGTGTTTACAGAACCATCGTTATTTTTTTTCGTCGGGCTCTAGCATAGTCTCGTCAAGTAGGTATTTTATTTATTCTCCCCTCCACTTAATACCGTGTTCTCGATTCATTTCCTCTCGGAGTATTCACAGTGAATTAGACTGTTAGAAGTAAACAAGTCTTTGAAGGTCACCTTTCCGCTATTTTTACACGACCGATCTTCTACACTCACTTGCATCAGAGTATAACATATATATATATATATATACATTACGTATGTATATGCATTTATGTTATTATAATATTTTAAAATACCAGTGTCTATTATGCGTGTGGTCCGTTCTTGGATTCTTCAGTTGCCGGACAAACAGCATGGTCTTTCTACCCCACTACCGGGATCTCTGTAGACCATGTCGTCCGCCCACTTAACACCCGTTAAAGACGACGATCACGCATTCCTTTACTATTTTACTATTAAGAACCGAGTCTAGAGTATTACTCTACGCTACACATACTATTAATCTATTGCATTGAAATGCAGCTTCCACTGTTACCAACCGTCCATTCAATAATGTTTTGAACGACTGCGTGCATTTTTCTTTTCATCGTTCATACTACATCGCGACCATCGCATATAGTAAAAAAGAAAGTAAAAGGATTTATTTAGTTTTTTTAAACAAAATTAACAATATGTTATTTTTCTATAAGTTATAAGACAATACTTACTAGATGATAATGTAATTTGAAACTCATCGTTATGTACCTACACCTGGTGATGAGTACAAGGTACTTATAATATGTGTATAAAAATAACATTTGTTTAATTGGTTAATATGCTTTTAATAATTGTTAATTATTGGGTGTTGAAAAACCAATGCATTATTATTTTTATTTTTCGTTGTATCTATAAGTACTTTACTATGACTAGGGTTGCTAGATTTTGAAATCCCCAAACCGGGACATAATATTGAATGACCTTTTTTAAATTTTATATACATTAACTGTTATTATTTATTGTCTATTGATTATTATACTTTTTACTTCAAAATTATTTTTTTTCAATATATTTGTATCATTCTCAATTTGTTCGTAAAATTTATTACAACATTAACCAAAATTCATTTAACATACCATCAGGCATCGTAATGTATTTTCATTCGTTCTATTATTTTTATCCGACAAAACGTTATTCATAAGTTTACTCTCGTGTTTTAAAACCAAAACCTGAAATCGTTAGGTGAAGACTATATCCAATTCTTTGCGATGATATCCAACCATCATTTGACTGCTAAATGAATTGATTTTTTAAAACCAATAGTAACAATTTTGGTGTGAAAACTAAGCGTATTGCTTTGTAAAACTAACAAGTATGTACATATAGTATATACTATATTATACTGTGTCGAATATTTATAAAATTACAATTTGTGATATACATATTTAAATAATTTTGTATGTGTTTCAAATATTATTCAAAAACCATATTCATTACCTATTTAACTTTAAAACTATTAAAATGTGTGGACGAAACGAGAAAGTTTCAAACCTTCTAAAGGCACATTTCGGCAACAGTTTTATTTATATACAGGGTGTAACAGAACTATTTGATATTTTTACATGTAACTATAACATTGAAATGTCAAATAGTCCTGTTACACTGTATATAAATTTCAACCCAATTATTTACTTTGATGAGTCTGTAGGAGTATTAGAAACCCAGTATTTCCTGTGAATATATGAAATCTGAGCTTTAAACATTTTTGGGGAGTACGTTAAACGTTGAAACCACCAAATCATTATACACACACCATGTAGATATGTATGATATATATATATACAATTTTATCCCCCTAGCTTTATTTGGAAGATCTCTAGAGGTGTACAAACTACTACAAAGTTAAAAAACATCCTCTTCCCGAAACAACAATAATCAATAATCATGGCCAGCATTTTATCACTTCAAACTACAAACTACCTATAAAAAAAAACTTTAATTCCCGATTTTTAGTTAATTTGGTCTAGACGGGGCCATTAAGTGTCCCAAAGTAGAGGGAAAAATATACCTAAATGGCTTTGTACATTACAGATACAATACAGTGTAATATAGTGTCTATTCTATTACTAGTCTCTATTTTCGGAAAAAATCGGACAAAAATGTATAGAATGCTTTTGGATCAAAACTACTCTTTTAATATAATATGCTATAACATATAAAATGGTCAATTTAAATACAATAAGCGACTTATAATAATATCCGTATGATATTCCGTATGTACTTACCCTATATTTTTAAACAATAAAGAATAGTCGTTCGTTGAACTTTCTCTGATTAATCATTTGATAATAATCCAGTGTTACCTATTCATTTTTTAACGACAACAATATATTTTGTCTTTTATAATCGTCATTTTACACTGGAATAATAAATGATAAAAAAGCAATTCTCTTTAAATTGTTTTAAATATTATTTATTTATAATTCATAATTGAAATTACATTCTGCTACAGAGGCAGAGATTTGAAAAGTCTTCTCACATCCTGTTGGGGAAATATTATGATTACAAACTAATTGACATTATTATGATTTGTGGAGTGTAGAAATATATTATATAGCAATATAGTGAGCGAGTTCCATATTCCTCAAAAAATGACACATACAATTACAATAGTTTTAATTTTAATTACAGTTATGTCGTGGTTTAATTTTGCTAGTATAGTCAATTACTAAACTATTTCACTAACTTATATTTTCGAACATCTATCATATTATGAGTGACTTGTTTTATATGTTGGATACATCATTGCACATAAAACGTCAATAAATGATCTTCGAATAGAAAATCTCGCCATATAATATTCTAATGGTGTAAAGCAAATATTATGATTTCAGTTAGTCTCGTGAAAAACAAAATAACTGTTAATTCCCTAAAATAATAATGCTATGATGAAGATTTTGTATTTCAATTTGATTTTACGTTTGCCATATAAATAAAAACTTAAATTCCCTTAAATTATTTTTTATTGTTATTAAATTTTATTATTATTATTATATATATATATATATATATGTATTTTTTTTTTACAGCTCAAAACGTTGTCTGCAACTTCGTGGAGGCATACCAATAAAGATCATAGCGGTGAATTATCAGTTTATTGTTGGTGATTCCATAAGATAAAACTGTTATTTATAATATTATAATATTATATTTCCTTCTTTTTCAATTTTTATTTTTATCTAGAAAGGCTGTAATGATACATATAATGTTTAAATCGTTAAGTTTGCCATAACTTACTACTTTTGGCCAATTTGTTTGTGTGTTTTGGTCCTGTGCCACGTGTTAACAATACTATCATACATATTTGAACTCAAAATGTGATACCTACGTGATAATTGCAGGACCAAATATAATAAATTAAAATTCAAATGTTTAATTTTAATAAAACTGAGCCAGTTTATTGAATTATTTTATTTATGTATTTTTTTAATTATTATTTTAGCTTTATGCTTTGCTAGTCTGTAAAATTCATCCATAAAAGAAAACCAATAATACCTATACCCATTACGTGTTTGTATTGATATTCCTCAATCATATTTTTCTCAATAACTTTTTTTGTTATTATTATTATTTAGTCATTTAGTACCTATACTTATGTATGTTAATGCGTACAATTATATTTTTAATTTAAGTGAAACATAGTTAGGTAAAATGTATAAATGTCATAATTTTCTTAAGTTCTACTACATATATACTATTAGTTATTTTAAAACTAATTATTAATGTTTTATTGAATTTATTTAACACAGTTGGGTCTCATATATTCATATCTTAACGTTTAATACTGGTTGTATTTGTTAAGTAGAAGCCTGTGTTGATTGTATTTTTGATACACGAAAAATATTATGCAATAGGTTACCTATGCGGGTAGTTAACGTTTTGTAACATTTACTCGGTTCATTTTTGTCTTCGGCGTTTGTTATGGCAACAAAAACATTGGCCAAGTCCAAATTCTGATTACTTACTATACATCACACTAAATCACGTTATTATATATATATATTTTTTTGGTTCTATTGTTTTCTACGTATAGTATTCGAAAATCCTTAAATACGATAAACATTTAAGTGTTTTATTCTTATATATTATATATACTTTATTTATTTTAATAGTAAATTAATATTATTATGCGTTTCTATTCGCACGATTTAAATAATAAATTGACTAAGAATTAAATAATTTAGTCCATATTATTACTGATAACCAAAATGTCGTATGCGAAGTCATAGGCGTAGTGCCAGCGATCAATGAGGATTTAAACATAATTTAAATTCATTTAAATTCATTATACGTTTACAATTTATTTTTCGAATGTTGCCAAAAATTGTATAGAAATAACAATACAAATAAAATATTACAAACGATTTTACGAATTAAATTGTAGAATTTGATGTGTAAAGTGGCTTCAGTTGCATACAATATTATTAGAATTCTAATAATAATTTCGGTTTATAATCTTAGTTTTGTTTATTTCCTGAATGATAATTTGTTATTGTTGTATCTTTTACGTTTACTGTATTATTGGGCCTCTACTCGTTACATAATAATATAATATCAAATAAATAAATAATGTGATCAACAAGAACTGAAGATTGTTACATCAAACAATGTTTTGTTTTATTGCCTTTAACAGTGGCGTAATCACAGAGGGAGATATGAGAGACAGATCCCCTCGGAGCCTTTTTTTTTTTTATAAATAAGTAGATAATTTTGTAATTGTATTTAAGTTCCAGTGGCCTATAAAAGTTTAATATTTTAAAACTCATTGCATTTAAGTTTCATTGTTAACTATTATCAATGGTAAGTGATGAAATTGATACGAGTATATATATTAATATGATAACTGCCCAAAGTCTTTTTTTATTAACGTCTCAAGTCGTCAATAATATCGGTAGTTTAATTTTTAAAGGAAAAATTGATTTTATATGATTCAGAATTTGTTATTATTAAATAGTGGTTAAATATAATCAAATTAAAAAGAAAATATGTAGATACAGTCAAATACCATTTTTTATATTTTTCAAAACAAATTTAAAGGTTTTTCCATAATTGATAATAAATAAAAGTGACTAACAATTCCAATACAAACGGCTACTTGAATTTAAACAATATTAAAATATTCAGAATTAAAAAATTATGTTTTTTGTACTTAAATGTTGTATTATTTTTTCCACCTTTCTCTCCTAGTGGCGGGGGCAAAGTATGATTAAAAGGCACGATTAAGTAAATTATAGAGAACTCCTAAAATATATTTTTAATTACGCCACTAGTCCGTAAGTATGCATTATTATGATTTTAAAAAATCGTTCAAGGCTATCCATTTTACTAAGGTTTATTAGATTAGGAAAGTTATTAAGAATAATTATATAGTAGTGAAGTCGTTACAACAAACAACACTATTCTTGTACTGATAGTATATAGATTTAAGCTTTATTATAAAGACGTCTTATATAGGTAATTATATTATATGTTGGCGCGTCATTATTTCTATTTCATTATAGTCTTATTTACTCATGGCTGCAACGTGCCATGAAAATATGAAACTATATTAAGAAGTTTGAGTTCATAAAACCGACAGTTTTTGAAGGTGTCCGTTACTGTAGTTTAGAAAATTAATTCTAGTGTGCATTTTAATCAATATCATATATTTATATACAGTATAACATTTATGTAGGTAGAATTTCGGTATAATACCGTGTTTGTATATCGAATTCTGTTAAAAATATTTCATTAGGTACCACAAAATTTATCACTTAACTAATAGCCGTTTTATAACCATTATTAATTAAGATTTAATGATATCAATTTATTTTGTATATTATGCAGAGGACTTATAGCTGTAAAAAAGCAGTAAATATACAAGAACTTATGCACTTAAAAATCCTATAATATGGACTAAAATATGCTCTTATTTTTTTTTTTTTTTAAATGTATAAATCATTTTTTTAAAAAATTGTTAATAAAATTTGATTTCTTTAAAATTCTTTTTTTTGATCCTAAAAAATACAATTATTTGTGTTAACTATTTATAAATAAAATGAATCTAATCAGCGACCCTTGAGACGTGTTTCAGGGAAAAAACGTATTATATGATTTTAAAACAATTATAATACCTATTTATACGACACAAATTGAATTAATTTTAAATTCAACAATATTTTGGTTGTATTTAAAATGAAATTAAAACGTCGACGGAAATATATTGATAAAATGATGCTTCTAAAAGTATAAAATGAAAGAAATATGCAAAATAAAATTTCAAAACTAGCTTTGTTAAAGTATGAAACTTAATTGTTTCGACTTTGCTATTTTTGTTAATGTGCAAAAAAATTAAGCAAATGCTACAATTCCTCTGCCCTAATTATGACCGTCATCACTTCTTGTCCGTAAATATAATTTTTTTACAGTAGAGGAGACTGGGGGGTATACGTTTATACAATTTGTATATAATTTTACATATCTGCAAGGATTTAAACAATTTTTGTTTGGTTTCCCTCTTAATCATTAAAATAACTATAAGTAATTAATACCTTAATAAATGTGCGAGCCTTAACACTTTTCCAAATATTTGTATAAATGAGGAATAATATTTAAAAAAATGTCCCTGTTCGAGGTACATAATTGTAACAGAGATAGGGTTTCGATTTTAATTCGATTTACATTGCGCGAATGATTTCGTAAGAAACGGTCGATATTGTGGAAAAACAAGTCGTGGATCTTGCACCAGGATAACGCACCTGCCCATAACGCGCTGTCTGTGAAGCGTTATTTGGCCGCTTAAGGCACTCCAGTACTCGAACACGCGTCTTACTCACCCGACTTGGCACCCTGCGACTTTTACTTATTTCCGAAGATAAAGTCTGCCTTAAAAGGAATCCGGTTTGAGTCGATGGAAGAGGTGAAATAAAAATCGGCGGAACTCCTGAGTGGTCTTACGAAAACAGACTTCCAGCACTGCCTCGAACAATGGAAGAAACGAATGAAACGATGTGTGAAGAGGGGAGGAGAGTATATTGAAGGGGAACATTTGGTTGTGGAATAATTTTTAAAATAAAACCATTTTTCATAAGCAGTCTCGTTATTTAATAGCCAGACCTTGTATTCACGGTGATCTGGTTGTCTGTGGTATGATACGAAATAATAATAATACACGGTAACTAACATAACGTAACTCTTATTATTACGGAAATGGTTAACTTTTTCCGGAATTTGTTTTTTAGAACATTTAAGAAACTTAAAATATTAAACTGTCGTTATTTATTATTACCTTTATTTTGGGAGAAGTAACCACTACCTATTTAATTTTAAATATATTAAAAATACAACAAATTGATTACGTTTTAGTCTAAATAAATGTTTGTATTAAACTTTTTAATTTCTGTTAACTTGTTGACGCGATATTCCACTTTTAAGTAGGCTATTTTGGGTGTGGGAGGGCATAGTGGAACGTTATTCAAACACTGTGCTTTGGGTTATTATAACCACATACTTTTAGAAAAAGGTCGTCGTTCAATTCCATACATTTTTTTTTATTACTATCGCACATTTCACATCGTTTAATACATGACACATTTTATCTATTTTCAACCTGTCATTGGTTCGTCACCGAATTTATTTATTATATTTGGTTGCACGGGGTAAATACAGGGTGATTTTTGCTATCATGCACTAGAAATCAATCAACAATTAAAACAAATTTGGTGGATTCTTTTCCGTTATCTTGACTACAGGCAAATGCCTGATGTACCTGCCAGCACAAAGTAATATTACTCTATACTCGACAGTCACTTATTCATTATCTCAACCTCCTTATCACAAATAATTTAAATTTTTTTCAATCGTATTGTTTGCACTTCACTTCAAAAGTTCGGAACAAAATATACAGAATTATTATATCGCGATAATATAATACCTACCTATTATACTATTATTGTGTTAACGAGTTGGGATGAGGAAGAAGATTGTATAAACGATCACAATATTGCCATTTTGGTATTATAATTATCAATAGGTGTAAGGCATCACTCAGTATAACTCTCGTGACGTAAACTGATCAAAGTACATATTTTTCACAACTGCGAGCATATAATATTATTAAGTCTGATCACGAATGGATATTATTGCGTTATAATTATTACTATTATTATAAATTAAACATCTATGATATTATATAAGTTGTATTCGCCTATACCTACAAATTATATATAAATATACATATATATATATATATATATATATATATATATATGTGTGTGTATATATACAGTTATACAAGATGATTCATTAAGTATGCTCACCCCATTTTTTCGGTTAAATTATGAATTTATTCAAATTCTGATTTTTGAAATTTTTAAGTGTAGTTGAAGCTAATAATTTCGAATACAAAGATTTTTCACAACATATAAAGAGTGTCCTATGATGATACCAACTTTGGTTTTTCAAATGACAACCTGTAATAAAAATTCAGCACTAATAAAACATTGCGTGCTTTGCCGCCACACTTATGATACTCCATTACTTTATCGATATAAATTAAATTTCCCTCTGTATTTCCCTACTTTCCCAACTTCTCATCTGTAACAATGGCCCACTTTTGGTGTAATGTATGTGTATTCGTTTTTTCTATTTGGGTTTCTATCAGAAATGTAGTTCTAAATTTTAAGAGTAGCATCGTTTCCAAAAGAAAATGACTAGTTGTTGCAAAAGGAAGTCGTAGGTATTAGCTATTTCTAGATGTAAATTATTCAAAATAGTTGGAGAGTTTTGAACTATTTGTAGGCATTTAACATTTTCGAGTTAGTTTAGTTTTTATTAGGGTCTATGTGGATAAAATATTATATATGAATAGTTATATCAATTCCTAGTTTTGTGTTGGTGCACTGCGTAAATTATGTCTCTTCTCTTTCAGATTAATATAAATACTAGTATAATGATAATAAAATGTGTACATTTTTCATAGTGAAATAATAGTTCACTTGTTTCTATACCTGCATGCGTATTGATACACATTGCACCTTATTATACGTAGGTAGATAGGTAATATTATGTTGTATAAACAAGCATTTTTTAAATATTATATCGCACACCTTTCAATTTGTATTTCATTTATCTGATTTCTTTAAAATTCACTTTAACATGACGATACTCATTACCAATACCATTTCGTCATAATAATAATAATATACACGGTGACTGAATGATGAGCGATATACTTTTTAATAAGTAACCATATGTACTTATCTATCCTTACATACATACATGTATCTAATATATTATAGCGGACATTATAGGCTGTAATAGCCAGCTCTATTTTTGGAAATTTAACAAAAATTCAAAGGGTGAATCCAATTATGAAGGGAAACTTCTCCGGCGAATATATATTTCGGACAGAAGTTGTCCGAAATTAAAATAACATATTATGCGTGCGTTTTGTCTATTATATTGTTAGTAATTGACATTTAAAAGTAGGTATCTATCTAAGTAGGTATATTAATAGTTTATTAATAATAATAATAAGCCGGTAAGTACACGAACAGTTAAATTGATATCGCGTCCTAAAACTCGGGCCTCTTATTCTCGTTGTCCATCGGTCCGGTCACCGTCGTCCATTCCACAGACAACTTGTCGAATAATTGGTCTCCGTTTAACAGATTCGCTTTCACCGGATCTTCGCTCAACTGGTGTTGATTTACGTCCCTCAGCGAACGTATCTTTGACACATTTTCCGTCTGTATTAAGTACTCGTTCAACAGATACTCCTCTAACGCCAAAGCGTCGTCCGAGACGTCCCCGTAATACGGACCGTGATCGCCGGCCACCGTCCAATCGTTCATCTCCGACGGTGGCAATGAGTCGACTATCGCCGTAGTCGATGGCATAGCCGCATCCGACGTCGCAGCTGCCACCGCTGCCATCAACGCCGTCATGTCCTCGCGTTCCATGTTGAGCTTTTCAGCCGCCATCACTGTAGCCACAGCACTGTTGATAGTGTTATTATTATTCAGTTGGTCATACAGGTCGACGGAACCGGAGCTGGACGCGGGCCTAGTCGCGGTATACATTGTCGCTACTTCCTCACCGCCCTCCTGCTCCTGTGCTCTTTTCAGGTTCTCGCTACCGTCGTTCAACTTGATCGAACTGGGATCCAATGACTCGCACTCGACTTTGGTATTGTCCACAATACTGAACACTTTATCCGCCGAATTTTCAAGTACGTGCTTTTGCGTGACGGAATGTACCTGAAAGAAAATAACCGCAGTTATTAAATTTGGTAATCCCTCTCCTTCGCCCAACAGAAAAACGTGATTTATGTAGACGGAGATAAAATATGTCCTTTAATTAAAATTAAATAAATAATATAAAAAACTGATACTGGGGACGGGTGTGGCCACTGCAGTTGTAGGTGGGTAGTTTGGAAAGTGGGATACATAAAGTTATTTAGTTTATACTTGTAACCAACGATAAAGCATTGCTAACAAAAAACAATTCAAAGCGTAGTCACGTATACCTACATATTTTACAAGGCTGTAACAATTGTCGTCAAAATTTGATTTTAACTTAATTAAAAAAAAAAAAAATACTATATTACAATCAATTTCTATTTTTTTTACCACTATGTACGGCTAATAATGAAACTTCTGTCAATTTTTCAAGCATTTATATTAAGTCCAACAATTTTATCTACAGAGAACTTGCCGAAATAAAAATTATTGCGCCGTATTTTTTTTAAAAAAAATGTATTTTTCGTCTTTTTGGTTTTTGCTAATTAATATACAGCCAGTGGCTGTATATTATAACGAACAAAATCGATTTTTTTTCATTTTTCGTTTGGAGCATTATTTCTGGTAGAAAAAATCATAAACAAAAATAAAAACAAAAGACGCTGAAAAAATTTGCTGTTTCACCTATAATTATCTTTCCGATTTTTCCCAATTATTTTGAAAATCAAAAAATGATCTCTTTAATGTACTTGCTAGAGAAAATTTCCTTTCATTAAAGGTACTGTGTTTAGTCACTTTATACATCGAGGAAGATCTCTGGTAGAAAAGTTGCTTACAGACAGAAAAAAAATAATACCTATCATAGTAAAATAAATAGATATTTTGCTATGCTACGAATCTAAAAGAAAACTTACCATTTTTTAATTATATTTAATTAAATAAGTAAGTATTAATTTGTGTTTTACTCAACTTGTTTGTGTTTCTTAAGTAGTTCAATAGTTTTTTCATCCGGCATGGCGTGTTTTTCTGGTGTACCTTTTCTGGTCACAAGGTATAATTCGAGACCATCTATTATCTATATTATAGGTAGGTACTACAATATTAATATCAAATAATAATGAAATGTTACCGAGATACGAAATAATTATAACCTTTCCTAAATAATCAAATCCGTTATCTTCTAGCAGTTGCTTAGCTTCGTCTTTAGAGATTCCGGGCAAATAGACCGACCATTGGTTAGCGTAGTGACCGTTTTTTGTGATATTCGGATGAACGCAATCTTTATCATCGTAGTGACTACAAATATTTTCACCAAATAAAACACTCATCGAAACGACGAAGTTCATGATTATTACAAACAGCAATTTGGCCATCCTATATATAAAAGCTCGAAAATTATTTAAAAATAAAAAACAAATGTTTCTTTAATATCTAAGAACAGTATTCAGACACAGGAGTAGGTAATATTGTTTTATATTTCTACAATTATTCGATATTTTTATACTTGTCGTTTTATATTTAATATAAAATTGATTTATATTACAATTCGAAACTGAATGACAAAATGAGCCACGAGTATACCTACTCTGTTCGTTTTATTAGTAGTTACATAATATACTAATATAGACGTTGGATTGAATGAATTAAACATGTGTTGAGATAATTAAATTATTTCTACTACAATGTATAATTGCTAATATAGGTACAATTACTTTTAAAATTATAATATATAGTATCTGGAACTATATATTAATTAGTTTGAAACACGTCAACTTTACAAGTACATTATTGTCTGTATTTTATAAAGACATCTGTATAGATATTTTTTTTAATGTATGCAACTTTTGTATAGGCTTAATTGTTTGTGTTACCTATGTTCTATTGAGTTGTATACATACATATACTTGGATAAAAATACTGGATGAACACATCTGTTAAAGTTGTTAACATAGGTAAAGGTAATAAATAATACAAATTGCTGATATCTATCTATACATACAATTATATCTAATCCCTTTATTTAAACAATTAGTATTTATTTTATAATAATTTGAACTGGATTACAACAATAAAATTTAAAGTAAGTACTAAAGCATTTGAAAAAGTTTCAGAAAATAAATGCGCAGGAATGAACATCATATACCTATTTCTTTAAAATCCGTTATCAATAGATAACTAACTTTATTTTTATTAAGATAATAAAAGCATATCAATCTAATTTAAATATTGTGTACCTCATGACCTCATTGATTTTTTTTACTAAGATTTTATCTATTAAACTTAGAAAAAATGATTATGAAAAATAATGATTTAAAAATTAGTGGTTTTTGCCTGATATTATAAAAAGAAAAAATAATAAAAACTTTTCAGTTTACAGATATAAAATTTGACTTATTAGATATTACCAATTTCCAATTAGGAGTATAATGTTATGCATGGATTAAACATATAATAATATTATATTGCTTTTTATAAAAAAATAATCAAATTTATCTACTTTTGCATAAAGATAAATAATCAAACAGCAAGCAGCATTTAGAATTTTAAATTTGAAGAAAAAATTAATAAAACCCAAGTTTTTTTTATTTTTATTTAAATATTATTTCAAAATATTAATTAAAATTATTAAATTTATAATTTAATATACAATTCAAACATAAAAAAAATAATTTTAAAATGTTATAAATGTTTAAATTTATCAGCAACACTATCAGTAGTTTCATTTTTATTTAGAATACTCATATACATGTCTAATTCATCTTCTTCGGTATCACTTTTAAGTTCTACAGTAGGTACTTCTTCTTCAACAGGACTTTCTGAATCAAAATATTTCTCCTCTTCATCAATACCCTTAATGTGCAAGTTATCATACTCTGGATTGTTATCAACATTGCTAAAAAAAACCAACAAAAATTGAACATAGAAAAAATATTTAGGTATCTGCATAAAATATTTTCGGTATAAATCTAGTTTACGACCTAACCTCGTTTTTAAATTTTTTTTTCAAAATGTGTGTTTTTGCTTGTACATTAGGAATCTAATAAAAAAGTCTGATGAACCTTGTTAGAAAATTATGGGGGAAAACTTCATGAAGTTTGAGTTTTCCATTTCATTTATTTCTTAGATAGGATTTAAAATTTAAAATTTTTTTTCCTCAAAATGTGTGTTTTTTAATGCTTAATTGATTGGTATGATCAAAACTTACCTAATATACTTATTTTTATAGTGATTGTACATAACCATATAATGCTTTTTCACTTTACTTTGTTACTTACCCTATGTGGTTTTGCACAGCAAATCGAGTTATTTTAGATTAAAATTGTCCGAGATAGCACAGCGTGTTTAAATATTTGTAACTCTAAATCTAAGCCTAATAGACTTATTTTGATTTAAATAAAAATTTTTGTTATCAAAATATCAATAACTACAAATAATAATAATAATAAAAAAAATATCTATTTTTGAATACATTTTAGATTAATTCCAAAAATGCTATTTTACAAGGTTTATGTATAATAACTATGAAAGTAAGTAGGATAGGTAAGTTTTAGTTATACCAATGAAATGAGCATTAAAAATATATATTTTGCGGAAAAAAATGAAAATGTTAAATTCTAACTAAGAAACGGAAAACCTGAACTTCATAAAGTTTTTCATCATAACTTCCAAACAAAGTTCGTTAGACTTTTTTTTTAGATTCTTAATGTACAGCGGTGGAAAACTTCATAAATTCGGGTTTTCCGTTTTGCATATTTCTTAATTAGAATTTAACATATATTTTAAAAAACGATCTTGAGTCATAAACTTTGTCCCATTTTTTCAATATACATACTTGTAATCAAAATCTTCTTGACCACTTAAGAATTTTTGAATCATATGAGATTTAAATTCATTTAATAAAACAATCCTTTCATTTTTACTTGGTTCTTTTGAACTACATTGTTCTGTTTCTGTATCTAGGGAATGACCTTTCCCCCGATGCTTACCAATTGTTACTGGTTGAGTTTTTGGTGTGTTATATTCCCCCCAAAGTCCTGAAAGTTTATTAACTTCCATGGTCATAAATGTATTTTTTGACTTATTGTTAGTATCATAAATATCATCATCATAATCATTATCTTCATCTTCATCTGATTCTAGAGTTTCATTTATTTGTTGTTTTCGTTTTAAATCATCTCTATTGTCACGATCAATTTGTTCAAATAAAACCTCAGTTAAACTAAAACAAATTTACTTTAATAGTAAACATACATAAATAAATATACATGTTATTTAAACACAATTTTGTTATTATTACGAATTCTTAGTAATATATTGATTTTCACAGTTAAATTTTTCTTCTTCTGATAAATATTGACCAACTAACTGTTCCCAAAGAAGAGGTTCTCTATTTCTCATCTCATTATCGGTAAAGTAATCTCCTTTAAGAAGTTCAAGCATAGCTTGATACCTTCGATTTTTACAAATCACCTAAAGATAATAATTGAAGAGTAAATTCAATAAATCATAATAATTACCTAAAGTAATAAATAAGTTATCAATTTTTTTGTATATATATATACTTTTTTAGAATTTAATAATCGACTCAATCTGTGTAGATGAAAATGAATTTCATAATTGTTAATATTTTCACATTTAAAGTATTCTAAGTGATCCTCTAATAAATATTCACCAAACAAGTATAAAAATTTCAAGTGACAATCATTTAAAGTATCCTCTGTAATTTTTCGTTTTTCATCAAGTGTAAATTCTGATTTGTCCATTTGTTCACTTTTAATAAAAACATTATTTAAAGCTTTCATTACGACATGATCAATTATACTTTGTCGCAGTGTTTCAGAGTCATTATTGGTTCGTATGTTCAAGATTTCTTTATTTTCCTTCATTATTATCTAAATATAATAAATGTAATAATTATTAATATAATATTAATTAATAAATAATTCAAAACATATTAATATCATTATTATTTTTACTTTTAAAGAGATTTCCAAATTAAAAAGAAAAAAATTGTTCGCTAGATATATATTGTTGTAATCATAAGTCTATGTAAGATACACATGGATGATTTTTGCAATTCTTAAAAGAGTTTTATCCACTATAAATGTAATAAAAAATATTGTTTTAACTTACATCCGAGTCCATCATTGGCTAATAGTAAATTAATCAATTACATACAGATATACAGTAAATAAATAATTACACTACAATAAAAATAATATTCTACAAATTACATAGGGATGTTAATTAAAATTTAATATATTTCTAATATTTTCAAACTATTTTATTTTATGTGGTTTTTTGAACATATATGAATAAATATAAAAAATAACAAAAGTCAATTGTTGTACTAACTACAAACAGCAATTATTGTTTACTAGTTTACTATAGATTTTATCTATTGCATTATCACGATCAACTGTTTTACCATAGATAATATTGTAATATTATTATTATTATCTATGGTTTTTACCACAAATTAAAACCAACTGTGATAACTAACTAACAACAAAAAATAAAATACCATCACTCATCAGTGTTGCTTTCGATTATTTGTTTGTATTTATTTTTATTCAATGGATTTGGATTCGTTTATATGAAATTATGAAAAATAAATTTAGGAGACGTATTATTGAACAATACTAGCTAGTACTGGTTTAGGTATCGATGTAAAAACTTTGAGAGTAGCAGTGTTTACGTTTGAGCTTAATCTATAGTACAGCAGAGTACCATTTGGTCTCAGGCTTGATGGAATAGCTTACACGTAAAGATAGTGGATACGCAGCTTAACAGCGCTCTAACAATAATAAGTGGAACTGTAAAATCTACACCACACTAATGGTCAGTGGCGGTACGAAGGAGATATATTTGAATTAGATACGTGATTCGCAAAAAAAAAATTGTATTAAAACAATTTTAGACTGTGGAAATGGGATAAATTTTATTAAAGACCCCCCAAGGAAACTTGGTTTTTATCCTTGGTTTGTAGATGTTGAAGTATTTTTTTCGTAGGAGTGGGTGAACAATTTAATCGGTGATTCAATGTAAAAATAGTTCGTGCCGCCAATATTGAGGATTGGCGAAAATAATGGGTTAACTTTACTATATCAAACGGGATACAGAATACTAGTACTCAACCCTAATAATGTAGATAGTCTCAGGGATAGATCTCCTTTGTAGCACATGCCCTGGTCTACGTTAAACAGATTGTGAACAGGTTATGGCGCTTGCTTACATAAATGGAGACTTTAGGACAATCCAGTCTATGACTGTGGAAACGGGGAGTAAACAATATTGTTACAGAATGCCGAAGAGGAAAATTCAGCCAAGGTTTTGAAGGCCTACACGAAGCGACTTTAGAAGCAATAAACTGGATCACAAACCTTTACATACGTTTGTAAAAAATCACACATCTCAGGATCTCCAATATTTCTTAATTTTAAATAACTAGTTAAGTTAAACCATTATAATTGGTACACACACATATATATATATATATATATTAATTCTATATTATATTAAGTTTTTTTTATAGTATTATTAGCCATGTTGATTATTTTGTGTATAAAGCCATACAAAATAAATAAATAGATTGAATAATTTTAAGCATAACATGTTAAAAACAAACACCATAGGTTACTATAACTACTTTGCACAATGGGTGGGTCACTGTTATAGGTGAGAAGTTTGGAAATTTAATCTACCTAGGTACTCATGTACCTGTGCGCACCAATTAATCATTGTTAATGAAAAATGATTCTAAGCTGAGTTCGGTTTATACATGGTTTTAATGGTCATCATATTTATTATTTACGATTTGAAAAATATTACTTTTCATAAATACCAACAATTTATATTTTGGACATTTTTTTTTTGTAATTGTTGGTATATTTATTTTCATTATTTTAGTGAAATCAAAATTTACTTATCATATATTTACTTTTTATGTTCTTGTTAATAAATCATTTAAAAATTAATTTTAGTTATTTCAAACATTTACATATTAAAATAGGTAACTAAAAATTGATTTTATGAACTTCTTTTGATTCGATATGAAATAACATAAAAGGATGTCCTAACTTCTTTCCCACCCTATCGGATTATTTTTTTTTTAAATTGTGTTACTTTAATGTGGAAATGTTTTAAATAACTTTATAATTAAGTTTTACACAGTTTGTTAACAATAACATGAAAAGTAAGTTTAACAGGTAAATTCTGATTTCAATAAAATGTTGAGCATAAAAATACTAACAAAAAAAATTTCCAAAAATTTAAATTTTCACTATTTTAAATTTAAAAACAAGATTTTTGCCCTAGATAATTTTATTTTTTAGAGATCTTTTTTTCAGCTTAGTTTATACCACTCCTCCCATCTAATACTTGTAATAATACATTACATTTGGTCACGGCCGGAAATACTGTTTGATAAGACAACCCGCGTGTACGTATTTTTCCTAAAAACATCGTTACATTTCAAATAATATTATTTTTACAATTATAATTATGCTATCCATTTTATGGGTCCATAAATGCGAGACCTCTTAAAGCTCGAGGTCCTGGACGTAAGCCCCGATTGTCCTACTGATAATTGCCGACCCCATATAGCTGTGATAAAGGCGAAGGAGAAGAAGATTATTATTATTAGGTATTTATCATATTTTCAGTAGGTACGAGTATAAATTTCTTTTTAAATTTTAATACTATTTCAAAATAAATTATGCTCCGATTCCGTGTCACCTAATAATATAAAATATAACAATAAACAGTTTTACAAAAGAGTGAATAAATAACGATATTAATGACCGTCATTGAAGTAACATCATCAATTATAAAATATAGTCCATTTTATGGGTAAACATATGTCATGGGACATTTCGTTGCCGGTATATCTTGCCATAGGATATTTGGTTATTAGGTTTCTTAAATTATTATTATTTATTAATGTCTTTAAAAGTTCATTATCTCACTAACAATAAATTAATACATTTATTTTTAATGAACAATATTTAATTTGATGAAAAAAAAATTGTTTTAAAAATGAACTAAATACATATAATTGTTTAATGTTTATGTAGATCTACTTAATGGTAATCGGTCAAAAAATCCGGGGACAAAAGGTTCATGGACAAAAAGCCCGTTTTAAAAAAAGTTGGACAAAAAGTCTGGACTCATTTTTTTTGTTGTCAGACAAAAAGACCGAGTACATTTTTATTGTCAGACAAAAAATACGAAAAAAAAAATGATCTTATTATTATTACTTTTACACACACGATTTAGACAAATCTACATCTAATAAATCAATTATTATTTTTCAACTATATTTAATATTTATACCACATTAAGATAATAAGAAAATTGTTATTTAATGGATATTCATATACCTACGGTTCATCATAAATAAAATATAAAATAAACTTGTTTTGAGTATTCGGTGGAAATGTTCAAATAAAATTTCAAAAAAATGTCGGGCTACTTTAGTAACTTCCAATAGTAAGCTGGAAATTATTATTATTTGTATTATTGTAGAATGTAAAACTGTGCTCGGACTTTTTATCCATGGACCTTTTGTCCTCGATTTTTCGTCTGGGATTTCTACTTAATATCTAATATAGATATAATATAATTAAGTGATAAAAAATTTGACATACCCTGTATTAGACAACGAACAGGTTTGTGAGCTGAAATTCTAAATATGTATTAATACATTCAATGATGGGGTTTTCAAATGGGTATGTATATAATATTTAGTAGGTATAACAAAAGTTAAGATTAGATAAAATGTTTTTATACCTACTTACTATTTCTGCAACTCTACACATTATACACAGTTCATATTTTGTTCGTATTGTAGTGCGTAAATATAATATATATAATATATTTAATATTACAAAAAGAAATAAACTTGCAACAACTTTTTATACGAAGAAAGTACGAAAAAAAAAGTGAAATTAGGAATTCGGTGGACATGTGTTCACAAATGGAACAATTACAATAGATGATGAAATAATTGGCTACTTTTGAAATTTGGAGCTCACAGTTATGAAGGCGATATTTACAAATTTAATTAACGCAGAGAAAACTAAATGTATCATGAAGAACACAGCAAAAGGAAATAATAATTATGATTTATCATCTCGAATTTGTGCACGAAATGTGGTTAATTTATCATACGAAGGCAAAAATGTATTCCAAATGAAAATTCGATTAAAAGGTGTTTGTAGCGTATTCGTAGATGCCATATATCCAAAAATTTCAAAAATAGATGATAATTTACTGGGAGGAACACATATTAGAGTATGACTGGTGAAGAAAATTAAATTATATCAAAATATGGCGGTGACCAAATGTTCTATCTTAATAATTGTCGTTAAATCATTTTTTGACAAGGATGAAACGGCGGGAGATGAAGCGTCCGCGATTCGATTTTATGATGTCTAGACGTACCCAATAATTTTTTTGTTGTCAGTGTAGTTATTCGTTTGTTTATCAATCGTATGAAACCGACCACGATGCCTTGAATACAGTTGTTCATTCGACTTCATCGTTGTCATGACACCCGGTTTTAGTTGTATTTTGATAACGTGTTGTAGTTTGTTTACACACAGATAATAAATTAAGAACAAAGGAAAAGGAAATTATTTGTTTATGAATTTCTTTAGTATTATTTTGTTGGATGAAAGTATATTATTGTGTTACACATTACCCGTAATGCGTTGCAGTCGGTAAAGTTTTTTTTCATAATTAATCTTAAAAACTCATCTAACGAAAACTTAATTTTGCAGTTAACAGTCTAGGTAAGTTCATACAGTATATATATATATATATAGTTGTCATTAGGTATTTGTTTAACGTGTAAGTTAGGTTAGTTGTTAACATTAATAGGTAAATAAAGAAAATTAAAAAATCCTAAATATTCATTATTACCATGATTTAATTAAGTATCTATGTAATTATGTCTAAAATCTTTATAGTTGTAGACAAAATTATAATAGATATAATATGTACCTAAATTTCGTATATTTTATATTATATTGATTTTATCCACGGCAATTGGTGAATTTTTGAAGTGTTTAAAATTTAAATGTGGATATTTATTTATTAAAGACAAACAGGCTCAGACCAATTTACAAATACCTATGGTATTATATAAAGATAACTAAGATAGGTAACCCAATATAATGTATATTATACGTCATTTAATTGTAAGTTTTTTTGAAAGTATAAGTAACTAGGTACTTACTTAGTTACCTAACTTATATGTAGTAGGTTCTGTAAAGTAGGTATAATTACAGGGTTGTGTTAAAGAAAGGGGCAATGGGGACATTTGCCCCGGGGTGCCAAACTTTTTTAAAACTCAAAATTAATATTACCACTACTATTAAGTATGTTACTTGTTATTTGTTTTATTTTCAAATGTTTGTTTAGAACAATAATAATGGTTGATAATTAGAATAGTGCTATGTACTATGTAGCAATTTATTTGATGGATGTAAAATGTTGAAATTTCAATATGAATTTAATAAAATTGTAAAAATACAACAAACTTGGGGGGGGGTTAACCCCTTAAAATCATTTCCAGGTAAGACCTTAGGAAAGGAGTTTTTATATTGATGTCCTTGGGTGCCAAATGGCTTAACACAGAACTTTATACTTACAAATCTATATATCATTGCATACATTTGATAAATAAACTAAAATTTTACAATCTTACAATTATTAATTTTATTAGTGCAACACTTATGAAATAAAATGCAATACAATGTTGCATACAATTTATTTTGAGTATATTTTCATATGAAAACCATAGTTATTTGCTTAGTCATTATGTTATGAAATAGACATATTTTATCTTGTCTTTAAATTCATTTAGATTTGGTATCTTATGAATCTTTTCATTGTAATTGATATGCGCAAAATAACTGATGTTCAATTAATTGGTAATACTGGTACTATTCTTAAATTATTGTTACTAACCACATATGTAAATGTGTAAACAATTATTAAACTATAAAATAATAAAGTAAAAACAAAATTATTAAATGGTTAATATTCGTAAATAAATATATAAATAAATAAATAAATTCATTTTGTAAGTGAATTTTATTTTTGTGTGTGAATACTAATTACATTAAAAATAAAATTGAATAAATATTTTTAATAATACTTTGTTATTTTTAGTGTTTTATTAAATATTACCAATATGGTTTTAATTCATGTAAAGTATGGTGATGAAAGTCAGTTTTTGTATGAAGCATCCTTGGAAACTCCTGTAGATGAATGCACATTGAATATTACATCAATCTATAATGGCCGTTTAAAAATATCCAGAATTTGTTGTGGTAATTATTATTTATTTTACTTTTAATTTGTATTTATTAATTTTTACAAACATATTTATTTATTATTTTTTTATAATTGGTTATTATTAAAATCCTAGAAATGGAAGAACTTAAAAAGCATGGTACATTGTTACCACCTGAAATAATGGGTTTAACTGATGAACAAGTAATTGAACTTAAATTAGTTGATAAATGGGGCGAAAAATGTATTCCTAGTGGTGGATGTACATTTAACAAAGATCCAATCGGACGTCGAAATGGTAATCAGCCCAATGAAAAAATGCAAGATGTGTTGACTAAAACAATTGAAGAGGCTAAAGCTTGTGTTTCCAAAGTAAATACTATTTTACAATTAAATTACCTAATTATTATTTTACCTAATTTTAATTATTTATTTTATAGAAATTAGTCCAATCTCAAATTCCATTGACCCAAAAAAAAGTTCAAGAAGCTCTTGACTTGTTGAGAGGTGTCATTATGATTGTTTATCCTATGAATTTACCACCACATGATAATATAAGACTAGAGTTAGAAAATAACGAAGACCTTTCAGGAACACATGCATCATTGGAGGTAAGGAATAATTTAAAATTAGTTTTAGTTCTTTTTGTGATTAGATGAGGTATATACAGGCTAGGTATGTCATATTTTATTTTTCATATACCTATGTTTGTTACAATGGAAAACTTAAAGTTTAAAAGTATTGTTGTCTAGTTTTTGATTATTTATTTTTTTTGTTTTTCTTAGGCGGGTTAATATCCATAATTAAAAACACCTATTTAATAATATTGTACACTATACAATAGATATTGTAACTTAGTATTTTTGTATTGTTATTAAATAATGTAAACAAATTTTCCTAAGTGATAACACAAATGTGATAGGTCTTATATTAGAAGGACCTATCCAATTTTCAAAATTATTTATTATTTATTATTTATATGCGGTTCCTTTTTTTTACCACTTAATGACCCAATGAACATGTTCATTTTTCTAATGAATATAAATGTTTTCTTGAAAAAAAAATGATTACGTAATGTGAATGTGTTCATTTCTTTAGTGAACTTTTAAACATTGATTGTTATAATATCCACCACAAGCATAGCTTAAAGGAGATGAATACCAGCTTAAAAAGAGAGTATTCATAATTTTATTTGCATTTATTTTTATTAATTAATTGAACATTATTTTTTTTTTTGAAAATAAAAAAAAAATGGTGTGGTTAATGCAAATCTTTGTTAAATTTATTTCATTGATTTAGCTTTGAATCTAATTTAAAATGAAATAGATTATGTACTTATTGAAAAAATAATAAAACCTGATCGATTTTCCATAAATTTTGTAAAACAAACATGTACAATATTCATACTCAAGTTCTAATATTGGAAGACAAAGTGATGTCTACATTCAAATTATCAAATTTAGTAGTTAAGTATTACTAAAACCTAAAGCATATTGTGTTAATGATTATACCTATTTATGTACTATTAATTATGTTTTTTAAAAATTTATATAAATTCTTTAGCAATTGAATTCAATAACATCATAACAGTCTATTTTCAAAACATTTTTTACTTATTTGATTTAAAATCTAAATAATCAACTCAAGCTATAATTTATATCAGTTGTTCGTATTTTTCCTTAGGTGATCGCACCAAGTGAAGCTCAATTGTGGTTTTCTGGGCGTGAATTAATACGGGAACCAATCAAAAAAATGAAGGATTATTTAGGACGCAATGAAAAAACCAAAGTTGTTCTGAAGATAACTAAAACTGGTTCTGGACCACCAGCTCGTGAACCACCGTTAAGTGAACAAGAAAGAAAACTGTTAATGGCTCAAGCATTTAAAAAACAAGAAGAATTAAAGGTAAGTGAGTTTTGTTAATATTATTAACACTATTGTGTTTACTATCTATTTATATCTACATAGTTTATTATTTGTAATGAAAAATATTAGTAAGTTTTGTCATATATTTTAAAGTTGTTGTTAATATATAATGTTTATGCACTTCATATTGAAGTGCTTTATTTATTATATAAAATAATTATGACTAGAGCGCGGATTTATATTTTCTTAAAAAAGCTAAATTATGATGCTTTTAATCGCTTAAAAATTTGAACATATGTTTATAAAATATTCTAAAAATATTATATTATCTTTAATATAATAGAAATATATACTATATAGTATATAGAATCTGTATACTGTATTGCATATATTACTTTTATATGAATATATTCTCTTAACATCATAGGCGTGGCTATATAGATTGTTGTGTGTAGGTAGGTGTGTAGGGTGTGTAGTTGCACACCCTGCGAGTCGTGTCAAGATTTTTAAATTGGAAATATAATGATATTGTAGTTATAAACAAAAAACTGAAAAATTTGAATAATTATGTTGTTCTCAATGTGTGATACTATATTATGTGTTATCACTTATTGTTATTAAATGAAGATGAATTAAAGGCTGAAATATTTTTAGTCAAACTATTTGGGCATTTTGAACAAAGATTCACGACAAAAACAGTGTAAAGCAGACTACAAAAATGGTCAAAATATGATAGTTTCCCAAGTATATTTAAAGTACTTGAAGTTTTTAAAATGTTAAAAAATTAACTAAATATTAAATAATGTTTAGGCTGTTTAGAGTTATAAAATATAATCATAGTCAAACATAATCAAATTATTTAATGTACTTAGTTTTTTAAGGTTTTTGAGAAATTTTGTTGGAGTTGGGTGGGCATAAAATTTGTTTTGCACCTCTTGCAAAAATTACTTAGCCACATCTATGCTTAATATACATTAAAATATGCACATATAAGCAAAACAATTTTTTTTTTAGTTTTTTAGTAGTTATGTATTGTGGACATATCTTACTCTCATAGTTGTGTAATGCATATATTGAATAAACATATATTTGTACATAAAAATCCGCGCTTCAAGTATTACAAATTTAATTTTTATATTTTCGTTAATAATTTATTATATATTATATATATATATATATATATACATATTAGTGGTACGTACAACTAACAATATTTGTTAGATTATTATTTCTTACGTTAATAATTATTTTTAGATTTACACAATGAGTATTTATTTTATGAACCATTATGTATAGATATTTTTTTGTGTTAAAAATATAAACTTAAGCTAATCAGTTATCAATAGTTATATAGTTTTGTTAAATGAAACAAACTATTACTAATTATGGTACTATTAAGATGTTTATAATATACAAGTTTAACAAATCAAAACCAAAATATATTAAGCTGTAGTAAGCAGCGTTAGTTATTTAATTGTAAAACAATATTAGTTTATAATAAAACGTAATTATATGTAAAAAAAATGCAAAAAATATATTGAAAAATGTCTTCCTTATTAGCATATTGTTAATTAGTTGTATTTATGTATATTATATACTCACAGGGGATACTATATCTTTTAAAAAAATAAGAATTACTTCTTTTGTAATTTTTGTTTTGATAATATAATTGTTAACTACTTTTCAACAGTAATATATATTGTATATATATATACTTATTAAAGTGTAATGTATACACTTAAAGTATTGAGTCAGTTTGGTTACTAAATAACTAGGTAATAATTCATAAAATACTAACCTTAAATGATATTATAATGTATGGCAATAGGTGGTGTATACAATTAATAGTTTATGTATTATATAGTACCTAATAATTTGTCTATAAAATCGTATAAAGTATAATGTTTAAAGTTAAGTCTCTTACACTTCACTGTAGTTTGTTTGTGTTTTTATTTTAAATATTATTAAGTCAGTGCGTTTTTAAGAGTACATAATATTTTTAAATCATATACAATGGATTGCACCAAAGCCTATTTCATATGTATAAATAACTTGACACATATAATATAAGCAACGGGTCTCCTGATGAGACTCTATCTTTACATGCGCAAGTATACTTATACAAATTATCATGAAAAATAGCTATTTGAATAAATATGTGACAATTTTATTCTTGCCCCTCAACAAGCGACTTGTCTTTTATATATGGTTCAAAATATTAATACATAGCTCCATCCATAGTAATGATTTAAGCCTCATAAATATTAATAATAAAGAGGTATTATAATAGTAATAATACTCTATAAAATAATGTATTAAATATAATGTTTGATGTGTTATCAATTTTAATTTAAATGTATTTTATACATTAATGGAAGTCAAATTGAAATTATATTGTTTTTAATAACTAGTTTCTATTGAATAACTAGTTAAATTATAATGAATGGGTTTTCTCATAATATATTATTATGGAACGTTTATGAATACAATGTTAGTCTGTTATCTTATTCAAATGTACAATACATTAATTTATTTTGCTTGATTTTTATTTGTATTTATTTCAAATTTGCTTGTAGTATAAAATATGGTTTGGATGCACAGCATAATGTGAATATTTATGATATATTTATTTTATACAGAATTTTATTTTATGGAATGAGTCAGATTTTTATATGATAATTTAGAGTATATATTATCTTACATAATATTTTATATATTTTTTATATCCATACAAAGTTTGACTGAAGAAAATGGATTTTATACTCAAAACACGCAGTCATTAACATGCAATATTGCAAACATCCAGGTTTTTTACGCATCTATATATTTTTCAAATAATACATAATACATTACATTTAAATCTATTGCACTTTGTACCTACTTTTATTATTATATCATATTGTATTTAATAACAATCTAACATAGGTAGCGCCAGACTTCAGAATAAAATGATTTGCATGTAAAAAAGTAATAAATTAGTATTTTAAGACATTCAATAGAATGTTAAGTATAGAAATAAGCAGTGCCTTAACATCTATTCTTGCAGTTGGCGTAATACTTTAGAAGAATGCCTTACAGGATATTTTTGACCTCCTGTTTACGTAGGTAGTGAATATGTAATTTTTTGATTTCCTTTGTAGTTTTTTTAATAATTAACATTATTTACGAAATAATTGATTTTGTTAAATTTTTAGTTGTAATTGAGTGAATATTAATCATAGAAACTTAATATTTTCACCAAATACTTAAATTATCACTTTCTAGATATGTGATACAATTTTAAAAACATTTTGACATTTTTCGCGTTATTTATAGCTAGGGTACCCATTTTAATCTTTCAAATGTTAATAGTTTTTATTTGAATACAATTCTATGGCTTTAAATGGCTTTAAATGATTCAAATGTTTGATGAAAGGTTCACAATAAGTTGTTTTTATGATTCTATACATTTATCGAAACTCTGTAGTTGTAAATTTTTTTTTAAATTGTTTAAAAAAACTCATTTTTGGCTCTTAAAAAATGATCAACATTTTTAAATGAAAAACGTGAACAAAATTTGATTTATTTTAATGTTACAATTTACTGACATTTTTGATTTAAGTTTATTTTATTAAGACAGATTTAACCTAAACTCTCAGAAATCGTTTCTGTTTGCAATTATTTTATCGTTGGATGTAACCTGAATTACCTTGTATATTTTACCTTCCTAACTTTGCATGGTGTGAATTGTATCTGTTTTTCATTGGATTTTTCAGATTTTAATCAGATAATTAATTCATACAGTTGTTTTTAAATAATTAATTTTTTTTAAACCTTTGAAATTAGATAGTTTAGTAGTTTGGTACAATGTCTGATATATACATTTTTTTTAAATATTATATAATGTTTCTATATAAACTGACAAAATATCCTAAAGTCATGACGTAAAAAAATTAATTTCTGTGGCGAACTGTCATTTGTAAGAGGGTTTGGTTTGGGTTAGGTATGCGATAAAAACCAAAATGTCGCGTGACGTTAAGCGCCATAATTTATTACCATTGGCCGCAGTTGGGGTTAAAATATTATTATCCTGAGTTACGGTGCTAAAAGTTCACCACTTTTTCTTTTACTATGTAATATTTGTTTCAAATTGAAATCGGCTTTGTTATTATTTTTTTTATTTAGTGGCGTGAGTTTATGCTTATAATAATACTATGTCGAGTTGGTATACCTATATAGTTTAATTATGTAGCGTATCAAAAAAAAATACTGTGTAGTAATTTCTACACGGAGAAAATATTGTCGGCCTTATTGATTTTTTTACTTTTGTTAACGAGTATTCACAATAATTTACTGTAAAAATAGTTGGTTTTTGGCTTTATGCACTTTGTATTCTACGGGCAGTTTTTAAAATGTAAACGTCAACTTGTCAAGAATCGTAATGCGCGAGGACATTGAGTAGACACGCAAGTCAATATTTTACATGGGTGTTAATGGCTATTGATGTTTAGGTATATATTGAGCTGTCAGTATTACTACGTCGAATTTTAAAGTACATAAAATATAACATAATAATATATAATATTATTTTATTTTTGAAAATAATTTATTATATTTACTTGATGAACGTGATTAAAATAAAAATATATATATTATAAATATTTAGCGTAACAAAAACAAAAACAAAATAAATAATAATATCAGTGAATATAATATTAATAAGATGTTTGTCAAAAAATTACAAAAAAGTCTTAAAAAATCTACACCGACCAATATTAAGGCGATTACTTTTATGGCCGGGTTATTGCCTATATATTTTGTATTACATATACTTTATTATATTATGCTCGCGGACAGTTGAGAAAGTCGTATTATAGGTATGTGGTGTATATAATATTAATTATTATATATGGCGATCAATCCTCGATAAGACACATATTATCTCGGAAAGTGTTAACTTTTTTCGGAATTTATTTTTCTGTGCAATTCAAGAAACAAGCAGCTGTACAACTTTTCATTACCGTTATTTTTTGTCATTTATGTATTTTTTGGGTGAAATTTCTGTCCACTTTTTAGTTTCAAATAGCAACCTATATTGAAAAAGTCATAATTTGATGCAGTTTTAGTTTAAATACACACTGGTATTGAAATGTTTAATTTCGGGGAGAGTAGTGGAGTGCATTACTTAAATGCCGGTCGCCGCGCCGTCTCGCAAATAATTCCACTATAATTCTGCCTCTACCCAAATTCAAAAGTGAAATATTTAATCAATGGGTTGACAAAAATATACAAATTCCATTGTTTAAATTATTAAATAATCTAATACCTAATCTATTTATGGAATTTTTAATTTAGCTTATAGGTCACTGTCGGAAAATCAAAAGTGGGTTGTAGTTTCACACCCGAAAATAAGGGCGACACCAAAATAACGGTAATGTTAAATTTTGGAGCTGCTTGTTTTATAAGTCGTTAATAATAAAAAAAAATAAATACTTTTCGAGATAACGGATGTCTTATCGAGGATTGATCGTCGTATATAAATGATACATACGCACTTTACTATATATGTAATAATATATGTTCGTATTTTATATACCTATAGTATTTGGCATATAATGATGTATATATAGATTAAAAAAAAACATTGCTTTATTTATGCCGTTTTAATGTATACTATATTATAAATGTGGGATGTGACCGATTAAAGTTTTTGCGAAAGCATTATAAATCGTTGGCGAAATGAAAATCGTATAATATATTGTATAATAATAATAATAATAATAATAATAATAATAATAATAATAATAATGATGATAATAATAATGTATATTATATTATTATTATCTTCTATCCGAGGATGTGTTTGCGTTTCGGTTGGTTCACCATTCGGCTCAGCTGCGCAATCAAAACGGCCGGACGATTTATGTCTGTCGTATAATAGGTTTATTTTACGTACCGCCGACGAACGGTCGTCAACCACCGCACCGTCGTTATTATACGTCCGGGCTTTCGATTGGCGGCCTGCCAACAGCTATGTCCGCCGACTTGGCCACCAGCGCCTCGATAACGCTCAGCTCTTGAATGTCTGCGTGTTTTCTCTGCTTGCGTTCCTTGGTCTTTTGGCCGTCTGGTTTCATGAACGGCTCGTCGGCTGCGGCGGCGTCGTCGTCCGCACACCACTGGCACGTCATCCGGGCGTCGTCGCCCACCTTGACTGTCTGGTGGACGATTAGTAGCGTGAGAAATGACACTGCGAACAGTATACCGGGTACGGTGACGCCGATCATTAGCTCCCACCAAGTTTTGTTCAGGTCGAAACGGGCCAGTGCCGTGAATGAATCGTTCTGCATAATTATAATTATAATATAGTTAAATAGTGCATTGTACGCAGTTGCGCAGGTGTATTAATTTGAAGTATGTAATAACAATAAATAATTATTTACCTCTTAACAGATAGTAGCAGGCGAACCCGGATTAAGGGAGGGGTCAGGAGAATACGTCCCCCGGGTCCACGGATGTAAAGGGTCCATTATTGTGCCATATTTTATCTATGTAAAATGTTAATTGAAAAATTGCATACAATTTGTATAATGTTGTAAATTTTCAAGTTCTGAAAGTTCGGCCTCGGGGTTCACTGGACCCTTAATCTAGGTTTGGTAGCAGGTATATAGTAGGGAAAATAAATGAGAATCAGATTGAGATGATGGTATATCTAACGATCGGACATTTATATACTTATACTCATAACTACATACACTCAAAACGGGCGCAATACTGGGCCTGTATGGGCTACCCAAAAGTCGGCTGGCCCTTACTGGTATAGTATTGACAACAATTGTATTCAATACTATACTAGTATTGGAAAATTAGTACTGATATTCAAGTGTTATTCAGAAACTGCATACTACGGGTCTTGTTTGAATTGTGAGCAAATGTCAGCTAGTGTTCAGGTCCATGGAGGTGGGGTAATGCACTATTCATTTTCATATTATCTACTTTTTTTCGGAACGATAAATTACATCAAAATAACCAATAAAACAAAATTAGAGGTAGGGGCACTTGCCTATGACACTAGTGCCCACTATTCAGAGAAGGTCGTAAGTCCGCGTTCCTCAAAAAAATTCCCAAAATTGAAGTTTCACTGTATTTTTAAATCAACACCCTCTTTTCACCTAATACGGAGTAATACAAATTATTCATTAGAGTCGTGGTTACCAAAACTTGGTCTATTATTTGTCGGTGTCCTCTAGTATCGTATAGCTAGAAATAAATTTCTGGGGGGGGGGCACTTTTATATTACCTAATATTTTTAGAACAATTAAATACATAAAAATAACCAATAAAACGATAAAAATCAAGATGAGGCACGTGCCCCCCCCCAATGCGCTCTGGCCATACGGCACTGGTGTCTCATTATATTGTATAAGTACCTAATATTTTGAAATTGACCATATAATATATATAATATACCATATATCCATAAAATGATTTATATTCTCAATAATTAGGTACCTAGTTTAGTGATTAGTGCGTTAGTTGTATTAGGTTATGTTAGGTTAGGGTGCTAGGTTCAATTTCGGTGGTGTATTCCGAAGTATAATTTTGCGATTTTATTTTTATATATAGTATCAGTCAATATTGTCATAGTACTGCGCCTGTTGTGAATTTTCGAGTACCTATAGGCATGTTGAAACAAGGAGAGACAATATGGGATAGTATAGTCTAATAGATATTGATGACTGATACTGAGTTGGTAACTAAAAGGTAGGAGAATTTAGTTTTAATATAACCCTGGGAAGAGGTTGGCCAAAGGAAAGGTGGTAAAGGTTATTCAGGAACACATGAGGTTCGCATGAGGGTGGAGAGGTCAGATATAAGAGTAGTTGACCCCACTTGAGCGGGGATAAAAGCGAAGAGGCACGCATGCAATGTATCGATTTATTTTTATTTCTGAGAATGTGGTGCTTTGTATGCATTACCTTTGTATAAAAACACGGAAATCGGCTTTGAGCCGTATGGTTTTCACCAGCTCTGCCGTGCGAATCGCCAAAAAGTTTGCACTCATTACGCAAGGTGTTGACGCACCCTTGCTGATTGATGTACAGTCTACTGGAATTGTAGACCGTCAACGAAGATTCCGTGGGCACGTACGTGTTGGTTTCATCTAGTAACCGGTCGCTCGTCTCGTACATCGTCCAGAACGTCGTGAAGTTCATGTAAGGTTTCGGCATTCGCGATTCGTCGAGCACGGTACCATTAATACAGTCCACAGCCATCATTGTTTTATTTGGACTAATGTAACAAAAGAAAAACGATATCGCATGTACTTGATGTTGTTTCCGTCAAATTTGTCGAGCTTTCGGTGGTTTTACCTAATCGAGTCAGCCTTGTCCTTCACTATGTTTGTCACGTTAGTACAGCTGGCCATGAATATGCCGTTGGTCGAGTTCTCGTCGGTCCAGATTTGTTTGGGCTCCGCTAGGGGTTCCCCGTGTGCCAGTGGCCCGTTGGCCTTGTTGTACGCTATCACCCGTTGGCAATCTCCCGTGTGTACATAGTCGCCGAATCGCAGGAACACGTTTAGTCCTATCGTCGTGATTTTATTACAGAACCGGTCACAAGTGATTGGCCAGTTTATTTTTAAACAACTGAAAAATCAATCAAACGTCAGACATATACGTAGTGCACGTTATTGTTTTTCAATAAAATTCCGATTAATATTGCGATTATATTTCTGCTAAAGGAATTTAATGGTGCTGTGTGTACCTTCCGTTGATGCAGTTAAAGTAACCGTTGAGCTGTAGATTGTCTCTATCGCTGTCGATAGTTTCATTTGTATCGGTAGACGTATTGAAATAACATTGGTACAATTCTGAAATATTGGAGCAGTGTCCCAATCGACACGATATAATTCCCGTGATGCCTAGGCACTCTTTGTCGTTGTTACAATTGTATTGTTTTAGTGTGTCCGGATTAGGCTGGAAGCACATTTCAGAAAAAAATTATTGTTCGATGTGTACCGAAAATAATATATTTTTAGTTCTGGGGAAAAAGGGCTTAAATCCATTTTTTATAATTTTTTAAATTTAAATTTTGTCTTGATTATTTGATTTACATAAGTGTATGTATACATTTGCTTACCGAAAAGCCGGAAAATTCCCGGTGGCCACCTCCCCCCCCCTCATTGGATCCAGGCATGTTAGTCCATGTATAAGGCCATAATAAGGTCGATAAGTAAATAAAAAAAAGTCATCAGTATTTTTTCCATGTAATTTTCCGGTGGGACAAAATTGGTCTATCCGCCCACGTATATTAGTGCATTAGTGTGCGTACAAGTTCATAGATTTTCAAAATTTAATTAGCTTGTTTATTGTAAACTACACAAAATTGACTTAAGCCCTTTGTCCCTGAAAGATATAATATACTCTAAAATATAATATTTAATATATAATAATATGTTATACACACGGGAAAGCCGAAATATCGAGTTTTGTAATATACGTGGTGTACCTATGGTTATTTTTTGTGTGCTGCGTGATGACCCATAATAACCCAACCATATAATATTATATAACTGTGTCTTATCGATATGAATATTACATATATATATATATATATATATAATTTTTTTTAGAGGCTTATTATTTTATTTTATTATAATAATTATTATCGAAAAAAAAAAAAAAATGATATTATTCTCATTCGGGGTTATATAATAATAATTGCGCCTTTGTTATTTATTTGATCACGAAATGCGTGCGCGGAAAACTGCCGGCACAGTGTTTATTATACTGCTTATGTACCAATTATACTGCAAAGGTTTATGTGTAAAGTTTATTTAAATTTTTCCGTGTATATTATGTATCGCGTATGACTTATGCGTGACCGAAACGTATTTTTTCTAGACGAAAAACATGGCGTTTTAAACGTGCTGCGCGTACCCATTGGGGCGTTTGTTTTGTTTGGGCGACATGCACACTTTCGGGGTTTAATGACCTCGCGCGATTGATAACGGTATATATACACCGGTATAGCTTATAACATATATAATAATAAAGGACTGATAGGCCACCGCACACGCAATCGCTATTCGGAATGTTAAACTCGTTCGGGAATCCCGTTGGGTGGTACTTGCCTGCGGACAGTGAGCGACAGAGAGTCTGGTGCAGTTCTCCACCCTGATGTCGGTGCCGTTCTGTCGGACGGTGACCAAGTACTGCGGGCAATTTCCGGACGGCTTCGTTAGGCACCATTCGCCGCAAGACGCCCATTCGCAGTTGTTGGATATGGTCGAGTTGATCGTTTGGCACATGATCGGCACCGTTTCGATGGCCGCGTTGAACGCCCTATAGCCCGGCAAGTAGATGGCCACCGACAAATAGACCAACGACACGGAGCTCAACACGAACGTCAACTGGCACACGCATATCAGACCGCATATGTGCCTGTCTTGTTCGGGTATGGGTTTTGGAGGCGGTTCGTGTTTCTTCTTACGACCAGCGCTATCGCCGCTGCTCTGGTTTTTGGCCGCCATAAACGCCTGGTATGTTTCTATCAACCGAAACGGCGATTAGTCTTTTAATTTGTTTTTAATTGGAAGTCTAACATACAATATGTGGTTGGGTACAGAAAATTATTGAATTCCTCTCCTGGCCGTTTATGATTGAAAAAAAAGTGATAATTCATAATGATGTATGTACAAATGAACATACGTATGTGCCTATAATACTAAGTTTAGTTTATTGAATCGAACACTTTTAATAGGCGTCTACACCGGTATTGTTTAAAATTAAATTATTAATGGAAAAAGTCGATTATTTAATTAAATTTCACTAGTGTACTTACAATAATTAAATATTAACGTGTATAATAGGTACTTCCTTTGTAAATGAAAATGTTATATAGGTAGGTATAACCCTGTGCACTATAAAAAATACAAATAAAACCTTAAAAAAATAATCAATTTTCTGTTTTGGATTTATTATTAAATATTTATGATGTATTTTATATATGACGTGTCCTTTAATTTTTCGTTATAAATTATAATCTAATTAATACCTCGAGTCAAAACTATTTTGCCATCGTGCGTTACGGGTCGGTGAATATCTTGGCTAGTTTCAGGTTTTTAACCCCTAATTCCTATTGTGTATAGTAAACGTGACCTTTAAAAACATGCCAAACTTTTATGAGAATTAAATTGAAATAACGTAGAGTTTATACTTGGGAATTTATAACGTAATTTAACGTATTTTATCATTTTTTTTAACTTAAACAATGCCAATATAATGTATACATCAAGCCGGGTACAGATAAAACAATAATTGTATTTAAAATAGGTAATAATATATCTACACTATAGATTCTATCTATAAAAATAGATATTTAGAATTCTATTTATAAATATAGATTTATTATTATTTATACTTTTTGTTTAAATTAAAAATGTATATTATCCAAATAAAAACATATAGGTAATAAACTTCAATTATTTTATGAAATTAAATTTAATAGGTTCCGATCAAAACAGATGCCAAAAAGTTAAAACGATAAAGAACTTATTGTACTTAATCTGTTTTGTGTATTTTTACTTTGTGTACGGGTGAATGATAATGTTTATATTGTACTTAGTTGATTTAATATTGTATACTTATTGACATTGATTGATGAAAGGTCTGTCAGGCCAATAGTAAACTTTTTCATTCTGGGGATTTATTAAGAATTTCCCTTAACTAACATGTATAATTAAAAATGTATGCGTTAAAAATAAAAGTGAATTTCAATTATATGATTTGTTTTAAAATAAAATACGTAAAGACATGGCAAATATTGTAATTTATTTATTACATAGTTAATACCTATCTACAGCTTTACTTGTGGCAACTGAATAACTATAAATTATAAAATATAATAATTATAATATTTTGAGAATAATATCGTGTCTCATCGTCATTTTACAGAAAAATGTATGTGTATAGTTTATTTAGTTGTCATAATTAGGGCTCGGGACTTTATGTATTTAAGATCCATAAAAAAACGTCAAAAAAGCCTTAAAAACGCATTTAAAAAACAAAAAATGATAACATGTTTTTAAAAGTCCCCTTCTGACAGCTTTGATTTAAAAAATATAATTTTCGAACAATACAAAATGAGCAATTCGAGTTTTTGAATATATTAATAATAATAATTGTATAATTGTAAGTATTAAAAAAAAAAAGTATTTTGTCTTAATCATTTTTGAGTGTTAGAAAATTGGATTTAATGGTTAAAGCTAAGGGGTGTAATGGAAATTTTAAACCTCTCTGAGTCCTGGGTTATTTTTGCTTCTTAATTTTTTTTAAAGCTCTTTTAACGTTTTTCAATGCTTTTCTGTCTATTTCAAATATATAAAGTCCTAAGATCTGCTTTTAATAAATAGAAACCAGAAAAAAATTTGTTTTTTTTATTTTAAGTACAAAATTTGATTGTGTGAGAATCCATATAGAAATTTAAATTTTAAAGTCTACCTCGGGATAGGTAATGTGTTCAAAATGTCGAATCTCTGCATGTCATATGCTGTCAATACCTTTTCGTTAATGGATTTATGATAAATAACACCATTGATTTTATAATGTAAAGATAATCCAGGATTTTTTCGCCAGGGGGGGCATGAGGTCTGGACTTCCCCCGAAATTTAAGTTCCCCACCATCAAATCAGATTATTAGTATAATTATTGGTAGTTGATGATAAATTGTATGTTTGCATCCTCCCCAAAAAAATTCCTGGTTACTTTCCTGGGTATAGGTATTCTATCATTTCTATCATTTTTAAGGAGTGTTCATAACCGCGTGGTCAAAAACTACTTCCTCTCCCCTTTCGTAACTATGTCGCTAAATTGTAAAACTATAATATGATGAATAACTTCTATATTCCTGGTTTCATTAACACTAACATTACCTTTTATAAAACATATTTTTATTTTTATTTTGATTGCCGTTGAATTTGGAACGATTTAAATTATTAAATTAATTATTTAATTATTTAAATTAATAAAAAAAAAGTACAAATATGAGTGAATCGAAACAGTAATAGTAGTAAATAAATTAATAGTAGTAAGTAGTAGTTTTAATTTGATTCTTATTATGTATAGTGTTGCCGGTTTGGTTGATATGTATATTTCAAAACAAACACGATAAGTCCATTGATGTATTATAAAACATTTAACATTTTCATTAGTATTAAAATTTATCGAAGATGATTATAATAAATAGTACCTATATAATACTATGTTGTCTATGATAGACATCAAGATAGTGAGTCAAAATACAACTCTTATAGTAAATATGTATTTTGTGAACGAATAGATATTTGGACAGTGTTATATTGCGGATCATGGTTACTATATAGTGGATCGAATTACAATTGTTCAGTTATAATATACGTACTGATATATATTTAAATAAAACGTGTTATAATATATTCAATTGTTATAGTATATATTGCTTGTATACTTACAGTTTCGATCGTTTCTCGAGTTTCTCTTAGTTGTACATTTTGGAGCATATCAGAACGGAAGCAAATTGTTTTATTAGAATATTATTGTTTTGTTTTGTTACTACATATTTTATAATTAAAACCAATAATAATAATATTCGTATTACCGTTGATTTTTGAAATTTATTACCGGTTTATTCGATTTAATGATTTTTACCGTACACCTATGTCGATTGGTGTCTAGTCGAAAACTGTTGCATTACGAAAGCATATTTGAACGGAACACGTAATTCCGATAGAATGACACTCCCCTGTTTATTCGATGTGCCGCTATAGTGGGGAAAGGGTCCAACCACAACGAACCCTGGTGGAAGTTTTTTCCCTTTGTACATATCAGCCCCTCTCTTGTACTAGGTCAAATCGATTGTGTTTAAGACGATTTCACGTTGTATGTCCAAATGAATTAATGTAGTATACGCTGTGTAAACAATATGCGCTGTGGTCGCAATAATGAAACGTACAATTTTGTTTGTCACTCATTTAGTAATTATATTGTTCTATTATATATTTTATTTATAAAATATCATATTTACCATTATATTTAGGGGGTTTATGGGGGTCTAGACTCCTCTCCCTCTTTTCGATTTGGATTTTAAGTGCACGTCCAGTGTTCAGTGATCTTGGGCAATTAGAATACAATTAAAATACACACATAGTAGTTTCTATTATATGACGTATTATGAAATAGAAATATGTAAAAAAAAAAAAAAAAATGTTGTTTTATCGCTTATTAAAATCACATTGCCGAAATTAGCTAAATGTTTCCAACAATATTAAGAAAAATTTTTCACGAAGATCGTGTATCTGAAAAAGTTATAATACTTGAATATTTGTTATGGTACCTATGTCAAATATATAAGTTTAAAAAAAAAAAATATATAAATTATTTATTTTATTTATTTACTGAGATAAAAGCCAAAATTGGCTAAGTTTTACTCTAAATTGGTGAGTCGTATATCTATATAGTTAACAAAATCTAAATTTATAATAATTATTTACCTAAATTTGTTTTTATATAGAGTGCTAGTTTTACCTCATAAATTGAAGAAGTTTGCGCCGTAATTTATTTTGGATGCATGTAATATGAAATTTTACTCGAACATAAACTTTATATTGGAAATTTTAGCAAATCTATCGGTATCTGTAATAGAAGTTAAGCGTTCATTTTTAAAATTCTTAAAGACATTCCTTAGAAATAAAACTGGACATGAGCGTTTAACTTGTTATTCTATCAGTTTACCGTGAAGTATATTTATCTCTACAGACGAAGTATTGGATATAATAAAAGAAAAACCAGAATAAATTATATTATTAGATGTGCGGGGTCAATATTAATAACTTAACTGTATTCATTTTTAAAATACTTAATTAAGATTAGTTATAATTTTGGGGGGTGAGAAGAAAACATTTTGTTAAGACCCCCCCCTCACCAAAATAAAATTGTTTTTTAACCGGATTTGGATAGATCCTAAACCTAAAATTGACTGATGAAAAGCTATTTGAAATTTGAACATAATTGTATTATACTCAATACGGATATATTAAATTAAAAAAAATATATAATTATATTTAAATTTAAAAAAACAGAGTTGTAACTTAGTAAATTTTAGGTTTAGGACCATAATAAATGGATCAAAATTACTTAAAATAATGACCTATCTATTTCTATTGAAAAAATCATGTAGTATTACGCACGCATGCATCATTTGATTTGAAAATACGAAACTTTCTATTATGAGTACCCCCTGCTATCGCAGAAATCAAATTTTAATTTAAGGTCACCAAGCTGAGATATTTAGTAGTACATAAAAGACGGGGTACACGTCTTCTTATTTTCCTTTGTCTTCATTCCAACTATTTTGATTTGGTCATCCTTGCTCTAAACTTCTACTTGACCCGATCTCTCATCTCGTATACACAGGCTGTCCTCATATTATTGTCAATTGCATCTAACTACCCTTTTTCGGTCTTTCTCTCCACCTCTTTTCTCCTACGTTTAATTTCATTGAAATTCTTACCGCTTCAGATTTCTCTCACCCCACGACATACCCAAATCATCTCAATTTATTTTTTCTCATTTTTTGTATACCTAGTATATTATCGAAGCCACGCCTAAGCTACCTCTTATGTATTCATTATTCTGTCTTTTTTCGTTACTCCACTCTACCTACAAGCATTTCATTTTTGTTACACTTATTTGCAGTCCTTTTTTTCTGTCTATCGCCCAACATTCCAAACCATATAACATTGCCAGTATATTACTATACTTTTGTAGAACTTAGATTTAAGTCTGATTGAAATTCTCTTGTTATATAAAGCACCTAGTACTTTTTTCCGTTTTAAACAACCACATTTAATCCTATGTTTCATATCTTCATGAAAACCAACGTTATTTTGTTCAAAAGATTCTAAGTACTTAAAATTCTCAACCTTGACTATTACGTCACTGCTTATTGCCATTAGTTGTCTTGTGCTATTCCTCAAATCCATACTCTATATAGGTACTTTATTTAACTTCTACTTATCCTTAGTATCTTTCCTTGAAGTGCTACTCTCCATTCTTCAAGCTTATTGTTAACTTCTTCCAGACTTTCTCTTCTATTCTAAATTATATCATCTGCAAGTATACACTATGGTACGTACTTCCTCTCACCTAGACGGATTACATTATATAGTTAGAAAACCGGATAGTAATTTATTCGACAGATAGTATAAATGATCAAATAATAATATTATTATATAAAACATGGTCGTATAATATATTATAATACGTATTATTTATGACCAAGCGACACATATTATTTGATAATTATATGTAGCATTTAAAATGTGTGTATAATCAAAGTTTAAAAAAACATGGTTGCTTATAAGAACTTGTATAGAATAGTGTAATTAAATATACAAATATAAAAACAGCAATAACAAAAAAAAAAAACACTTTACAATGCATTTTTAAGATTTTCTCTTTCATATAAGCTTAGTATAAATAAAAAATATATTTTTTTTTTTATAAAAAGTATATTTTTATAGATGGAAAATAGTTTGTCGTGTACTTAATATATATTATATCGAACGACTACATTCGATGGGAATTTAAGCAAAATTTAAAATGTATAGCAAAGCCAAATAAATTAATTGAAAATGTAATATTCGTGGCTTCTTTTGTGCTTGGAAAAAGATATTTCTTATACCAGATCTTTGCATTCTAATATCCACCATCGTCTTCGTCTGTGCTAAATGGCTGTTCGGATAATCTCCTGTAAATTAAGATAAAATCGTGTATAAGTATTTATTGAAATGTATTTAATAAATTACAATTAATATTTATCTTTTTAGACTACAAACACAAAATAAATTGTTTGTTATTCTTCAAACAAAAATATAGTCTAAACATTTATGAGTTTTGAGATATTACTATGTACAATTAAATTATACTACGTAATTTTCATTTGCAAAAGTTATGCTTTACAAAAACTATGAATTATTTTAAACTAACCGACGTTTTGTTAATCGTTCAAATAAAACCAATGGATGACTTTAAAAACTTTTCTATTCTCTAATAAATTAAATTTTCAAGTTGAATATATTCGGGGTAAAATTGTATAGTATAGTAAATTTTCGAGTTTGGAATGCTTTCAAAAATGTTATTACGAAATTCTAATACACATATATAATACATATAACGTATTTGCTTATTTCAAGTTGTATAAATAATAATATGCGCTGCGAAATTCATCTTAATGATTGTCTACAAATGATTTATTGTAATTGTTGAATGAATTGTGTAGTTGATATACAAATTTAATAGTAATATGTGTATGGAACAGTATAAAAAACTTTCATATAAGTTTCAGACACACTTGAGTTGGTTATAGGAATGCGTTTTTGTTAGGTTTATTATACATATTGTAATATCTGTCAAATCACATAATATTGTTGTAAATCGAAATATTTGTTTCCTTAATAATGAGTATTAATTAAATATATAAATAAATAAGTTAATACATAAATAAATAAATAAATAAATGTTTCACCTGGAGTATTATAATAGGTGATATTGTGCGACCGGTTTCGAATTAAAAATTCATCGTTAGGTAAAATCACAGTCAAAAATTAAAACGCGACTGAATATGAAAAAATAAATGAAGGAATACATAGAGAAAAAAGTATACAAATTGGTCGTTTTACATAGAAATAATTTATTTTAATAGAAGAGATTATTTAAAATGAGTTATTATTGGACATAAATATGTTAAGAAGTATAAATTATTTGTTTATTAATTACTATCTAAAATGTATCGAGTATTATTTATTATTAGGCAGGTCGCCGGTGCGTTATTATACTATTATATTTTATCTGAGTTGTTTGTCAAAGGTGACGAAAGTTCGTATCTGTAGACCATAGATTAAAATGAAAATGTATACTTGATTCGATCGCGCGCAATTTTGTATCTTCCAAACAAACCTAAACTTTTAAATTGGCATTTTAATACATTTTGAATCGCGCATTCCTAATATCCTTACATATGCGTATACGGCATATGGTTCCGCCGTTTTCTTTCGTCACGTGCTAAACCAGTGGCGTCCAAACATTTCCTGCTAACCCGTGCAGTAGATAATGACCACCCCCCCCCACTCACAAAATAACAGGTTAACAAATAGCTAATAAACTTATAAATTGGATTAATTTAATATGAATTGAGACTATAATTTGTAATTTGTACACGTCAACTAACAATTCCTACCCAGTATCCACTACCCCTGAGCACTTGCACTACTTGGTAAGGGGTGTGGGCGCCACTGCGCTAAACATACCTGTTCACTGAATGCGAGTTTTTGTCTATTTTGTTCGCTGCCGTTTTCTTCTTACCGATCATAAACTCCTTTTTCAATGCTGGACAGTACCAGTAACATAGAATGGCGCACGACACGAAGAAAAGAGTCCAAGGTATCACCACGGCGGCCACCAGCATTTTGATAGTGTGGTACCAGTTGTATTCGGCCACCACTCTGTCCGGGTACGCACGGCTGTAGTAGCACGGGAATACATGGTACCCCATTTTGTCGGACTTTTGCCGTACTCCCTTCAGCTGCAGTTCCTGATTATTCGAAATGGTGTTCATCTGCAGGTTGTTTGTCGGTTTTATGGTTGGCATCTCCGAGTCTGTTATTTTGGTAGAAAACGATAATGATATGGCAGCGTCCATGGCGTCCATGGGGTCCATGGAATTCATGGCGTCCATGGTGTCCATGGCGTCTGTGTTGTTACCTGAGTAGTGTCGGTATAGCGCTCTTGTCTCGGACTGGTTGATGTTTTCAAAAATGCTGAAGTCTACGAATTCCATGTGACCGTATTTCAGGGCGAACACGGTGCAGTTTACGTAAGGCGGGTAACCGCAGCCTTCGGTATTCACCAAGAATCGGACAACCGTACCCGCCCATTTCAACGACTTGGGATGCATTTTATTCTGCGCAAAAATTTACAAGGCGATAATATTATTAAAACGACAGTGTTTTTTTTTATATAATGGGCTGGTTGAGAGGTTCAACACATAGAACAAATATGCAGTGGTTTTAACCGTGAAAATGTGTGTAAGACATTGAACACACATTTGCACGTAGATTTTCATTTGAAATACAAAATGGGTATATTGGCCATTTTAAAATGGTATTATTATAATCTCAAAGTTCTATTCAAAATAACGTTTGATTGATGTTGTTAAATATAAAAAAACTAATTTTGGATTTCGACACCTTGAATATCATTATCGTAAGAGACCTTATTTTATGTATTATAATGGAATTAAATTAACCCTATATTGTTCTGTTGAAATTTGATTTACCTAATTACGAGCATTAACCTAACGCCTACACCCTCTATCCGCTTTGCCTACTTATCAGCTGATCGTGAGATACACTAGGTATTAGATATTGTATAGAAAATATAAATAACAGGGTTAGAAACAAGACATTTTTTTAACTAACAGTCACTTATTTTTAGCGTAGTCACTAATGCCACTATTTGTATATTAAAGAACCTAAAGCAATTTTTGAAAATTTGTTTAAAATTATTTCATGATGACATGCATGCATATGTTTTAATTCACACAAAAAAATTTATGTTTTGTAATTTTATTTTATTAATATAATATGTTCAAAATAATATACACAAACAAAACGATTTTTTAATGATTTTATACTATTTAAGTTGTCTAAATGTTACTTAAAATGATTTAATAAATAAACAAAACGAATTCAATATTAGTTATAATGTTATAGAATGATCTCCGTAGTTTTAGACAATTTTTATCATGTCTCATAGTAATATTGGTTAAAATAATTCGTATTCAGTGAGCAAAACTAAAAGATTGATTAGAATAATGAACTATTTAAAAAAGTTTACAATTTATTTGTATAATTATTTTATTTTAAGTTTATATATTAGGCATATATTGCATAATAACATATATTAACATAATAACAATAATTGTAATCAGTGACCAAAAGTGCTAATTTTACATTACCTAAAACTATTAATTCTTATCTCAATTTTATTTTATATTTCACAAGTAAATCTACATTTTTTTTTTATACATATAAAATTGTTTAAATCATTTAATATTTGATCACTATTTTCAGATTCAAAGTAATTTTTCGCACTATTTTTGTACACTTCGACTGTTTCTAACCCTGACACAATAATTGTAATGTCAGTTGAACCCAATTTTACTTTATCGTATGTATGTATGTATGTATAGTATAGTTAAAATGTTCGATATTCAAAATACAAAATGATTTTTATTATTTAAAAATCTGATGATTTTAAGTTTTTAAACTAGGATAATTTATTTCGTGATATTGGAAAATTAAAACCAACAAAGCATAGTGCGAGTTCTGTTTGTTTTTTTGGTAATCATTTTGGTTTCTTAACGAAGTCCATAGCTCAAATAGATTTGTCTGAAACGATTTTTCGTAAACATTTTTATCAATTTCAAGATTACACAATAAATACTTGTGATAATGACACGATACTATTTGTAAATATGTTTGAGAGTAAGTGAATACTTTTGAGATGATAAAGTTGGCTTTATCCAAAAATTTCGTAAAAATTACTTATATTCAACACCTTAAATACGGGAGCATATTCTATTAATAATATTCGTTTATATTAATATGTAGTTGGAAACCTAATTATGCTGAAGTAACGGATATGGACGATGTTTTTTTACATTTTTCACTAATGTTCTATTTCTCGTTGTACTTTAAATAATTAAAATACATACACAAATAGTACAATAGGTATTTAACACAGTTTTATTTTGTAGACCTTGTACATAACGACGCATGTTTCACCACCATTATCCATTTGTAAATTGTAATTTTTTTTCATTTCAATATTTAGTATGTATTTATATGACCAATCCCGGAATTCGCGTTTCATTTTATATTACAAAAAACCGACTTAAATGGGAGAAGCTGGAGAGCCCCTATATGTAAATATATGTAAAATTAAAAATTTAACGACTCTTGGAGTACTTAGTAGGTACATGAGTATGTATTTGTATGACTAATCCCGGAATTTCAACTACTCCCCCCCTTTTTCCGGTTAGAAGTCTGTTACAAACTATTTTTGTTATAAATTCTTTTTTTCGTAATAACACATTTAAATTATTTTCTCGAAATTAAAAATTCAATTACATAGGTATGATAAATAAAAATAATACAAAAGATACCTACTTTAATGCATTTCGTATAAGTAAATTATTATTATATTTGATTTTTAATACTCCTGGATTTCTTTACCTAATCACCTAAGTTTTAACAATTTATCATTATTTTTTTTGGAGAGTTTACAATGTTTACATATAATTACGTACATAAATAATGTTATTTTAAAATTATTAGAATACATCTGTATGTAAATATTTTAATTTAATTGATTATCTTTAGTCAGGTTAGGTTAAAACCATCATACTAAACGAACATTTGAGACGTTTTTATTGAATTTGTTTAAATGTTGTATGCATTCACTGTATTTCTGAATTAGATTAGTAGGATAATATTTTAAGTAACATTTTTTTTTTATTGTTTTGTTTATTGAAACTTTTCCATTATATTCCTCATGACTCCCCGAATCTAAAAAAGGATATACTAAAATATACATACATAAAAAAATTAATTAATAAATTTAGATATTTAATATTTGTAATATTTTCTATATGAATAATTTTTTCTTTATTATATATGTTTAGTATGTTGTGATGGATTAATAGTAAGTTTTTTTTCAATCAGTGAATAGTTAAAATACAAATTTAAGCATATTGGTATCCAGTTAAAGTTATGAAATTTTATTTTATATTATTATTACAAAATATGATTTTCACTGAACACAACTAACAATTATAGTGATTTAATGGTATCTAAATACAGAATGTCCCAGAGTGTTACCCTTATGCTAATAATTCTGTCAATATTTTTTTTTCAAACAGGTTTTATGCGTGGAGGACACATATGTAGAGAAAATTAAATTTGTATTTTCATCCCTGAATTTTTGAAAGAAATAATTTTTTTTTTTATCACTTTTCAAAATTTTAAAAATAAACATTTTGTATACGATAATATTCTAATAGTTTTAATGTAAAATACATTCATATCCGATCACCAGTTTCTTAGAAACAATTTCTAGAAAATTGAGGTGAAAACAATTTCTTTTCAATAGAATAACATATTACGCGATAAGGAATTTCAATCAAATATATTCTATTGAATATTAATTGTTTTTACGCCTATTTTACATACATTAAAGCTACTAAACTAAGAAATTATTGATCGGATATGAATACATGGTACATTAACATTTTTAGAACAATATATTTTACGAAATTGATAATTTGAAAATTTAAAATATGGAAAAATAAAAAGTTACTTTTTTCAGTCATTAAGGGATGAAAATAAAAACTTAATTTTTCTCGACCCCCTAGCACATAACCCGATTGAAAAAAAAAAACGAATATTGACAGAGTTATTGGCATAGGGATAATACTGTAGGACATCTGTATAGTTAAATATTCATTGTATATTGTGTAGAGATTGATATTTATTATTTTTGATATAAAATAATAGGTCATCAATGACTTAGTTGTTGGGATAGCGAAAATCGTACAGTTATAAATTTATTGATTTCAATGTAGCCTTTGATTATGGTCAAATATATTAATTAAAAAAACATAGTATTTATTTTGCACATTGCAAGTCGAGGACCGAATCGCATACTAATTATTGATATCGTTTAATTTTGCGTATATCTATTTCTATTTAGAGAGGGGCTGGCAAAATGATACAGCTGTAACCGCTGTAGCTGTAGCCTGTAACCGAATTTCGATTGGGAAGAGAGGTTTGTAGGGATTTTGGAATTGGTCATACAATTATATAATAAATATTGGCGTCGATAAATTTTTAATTTTATGTATGTGTATGCATATACGAGGGAGGTGACGAGCCGAGAAACGATTTCAGCGATTCCGAGATTGGCCATACTAATTATTTACAAAATAATAAAAGTGTCATAAAAATGACAACTTCATAATGGGGGGGGAGAGGTGTCGGCGAGACGTACATTCCATAACTGACAGAGAAAGAGAGATAATGATAATTTTCGATCAGTCCTTGCCTGGTAGTATTCTTCGAATGGCGTTAACGAATAATTTACGGTAATCTGATGGCACCGCGTGGTCGCTGAAGTGCAACCCTCCCGGCACGAGGACCACGTGCATTTGCTCAGGCCGGCGGCAAAAATGTGCTCGTGCAGTGCGCACGTGCCGGGCTCTGGTGAGTACCGAGCGATTAGCCTGGAGACGGCCGGGTCGACGACAAACGGCACCAGGAACAGGAACACCATAAACGATAGCGCGGCCGTGGTGCCCAGGCATAAGCTCACTTTGGGCTTGATGCGCTCACTGAAACTGATTTTGACAGGTTCCCCGAGTAGTCTCGATCCTTCATCCTGGCTGGCCTGTCGACTTCGCACTGGGTGTTCCATAAATATTTTATACAGGTTCTAGGTGATCTATTGGGAAAATAAAATATTATTAAAATTAGGCCGGCATAGCTATATGATACTCTAATTTAAGTTTATTAAATTGAATGTTTCCGGACAGAAAGAGGACGGGAAGAAGAACTTTATTATTCCATGTTACCAACCATAGTTTTTATTATACAATCCTCGGACAATATTTGGCCGATAAACGGATTCAATAGTTATTGATTTAAACGAGATCACAGGCAAAGATTCTACCGTTATAAAAACGTAAAATTTTAAATCCCTTAACATATCTATTTTGCATATGTTTTAGAACAATAAACAGTGAGAAATTAGACATGTATTGACAAATTGTCAAATTTCAATTTTCGAAGATCTCCAAAATTAAGATATTATTTTTGAAAATTCCGTAAAATAACCATATTACGTTCGTATTTATTTTAAATACACAGAATTTTAAATCGATTTTCTAAATAACCACTAGAAAATGTGCCATCAAATCCATAAATACTTAAGAAATGGAAATCGGTTAATGGGAAGTATGTTTAATTTCCCGCCGATTATTAGACTCAAACGCGTCAAATTCGTTCGGAAAAGTAGCCACTTTCCCTTAAATGAATATCTGTCAGTAGATAAGTGAGAAAATCTTACCATTAAAGTGGTCATTAAATAGTATATTAATTAATTTTCAAATTTTATAAAATTGAAGAAATTTTGGATAGCCGTTTTCAAATCCCTTAACGAATCGAATAAAATATCGTAACCTACTGTATAGTAGGTAACCCATTGAACTGTGTTGAGCATTATAGATTTTTTTTCACATGCTTTTTAAATTAGAATTTTGTTTAATTTTCGCATTAAAAAAATATTCCATCGAGTTTGCGTGTGCAGTCAATATTTTTAAATTTAATTTCGTATATAATATACAATTATATGAATTTTTAAATGTTTAAAAACGTTTCGGCTTACACAGAATTGTGAAAATTATTATTAAAAAAAAAATACACATTCATTTTATACATTTAAAATATTTAAACATTTTTAAATAAAAAATAATTGATTTTTGTTTTAAAATACCTTATATAGCTGTGTATAATTATATGGTTTAATTTTGTAAATCAGTATAATAATACCGAACAAAAATGGTATTTCTACGGTTATTCTAAGTGCCGTTTTACATTTTGTATAAATATATTTGTTGAACATTTTCAAAATTTTCGATATATACATATAGTATATAATACCTATTATAGCGATAAAATAATTTATTTCGAGGCTTAGGTCTATATAACGCTCACGTAACTAACACTAGCTAAATTAAAACAATGCCTTATAACAATATTATCCTTAATAATAAAACAATTGTTTAAAATATTACAATTATTTTGTAATTGTATATTATATTTAGTTTATTTTATTTACGTTTGGGTTTACTATACCGTTGTTAAACAATACCAAAACGTCACGTAAACATAAAATTGACTATACAATACCTAATTTATACCTAGCTATATTTTAATTGAATAAAACAATTGATAATCAATATTAATTAACACGGCATGATTGGTATTTGTTATTGTTCTGTCGAACGAAAACGGTATGAATTCTTATCTTAACAATAGTTTATCGGTCTAGGTGGACATCGACAACGTAAATATAATAATAATTAATGTACATAATAATAATATTAATGTTTCACAAAATATTCCGCCCTTGGTCTATAAGCGTTATTTTGAATCTCTATGTACACGTATAGTATAGGCGTGTATTATTATAATATGTATATAAACTCAAATAGGTAGTCTTAACTATGCTGGTTTTTTTTTTTTTTTTGGTGAACGTCCATTACGCGTTGTTCACTTCCTCCTTTCTTAGAATAAAAAGAAGCTCAGAGTGTATATAAAGACTGAATCTCAAAATTTTTACTATTTATTCTAGCAGTGGACGTACACAGTATGCAAAATCTTTGTCGGTTTTGGATTTATACGTGTGAAAACTTCCTTACAAACAATGACTTGTAACTACGTTTTTCTGTATAAGTAGACTACGGATTATACTATACTACTATAGATTATTATAGATCTAGAAGAATATAATATGGAACTATTGTAAATGCTCGTATTGGTATTGGGCATAATAATTATGTTAACAATGTAAAATAACAATAATCATGATCATAAAATAATATTACGATTATAAAATTATCGAAAAAGTTAATTATTTCAAAATGGTATTATCTTAGAATACAACACCGTTTATTATGCACCTATGTTTTTTTTTTTGTATATATTATAATAAATTATAATCGTATAGATTGTAGATGATTGCCTTTTTGTGAATACAGCGAAAATTGCATGTCGCGTGGAAATTATTATATAAATCGTAAGCTTATCAATTATTGTAATAATTATGTATAGGTATTTAGTGGTACGTATGACAAAAAAATATAAAAACATTTATAAGTATTATAATTTTAACAAAACAATAATTTAGCGACGTCGCGGTAAAAGAATGTGTTCAAAATGTTAATAATAATTATTATGTGCAAAATGTTTCGAGATGCATTGAACCATTAAACGAGTGAATATTTCTCACTAATAACAATTAATTATTGTTTATTTTTTGGTAGACGATAACGCGTTCCCCTCGTAGATCCGGATTTGTGTTGTGTACGAAGCATTTTTTAATATAAATCGTCCGGATCATGCGTTCAAACGTGAGCTCTAGTAGTCCGGCAACGAATACATCTGTCGCTGACGGGTAGGGCTGTCTTGTAAGAGGGGAATGCCTGAAAAAAAAAAACAACCAAATCTATTTAGTCTAATTATATTAATTGTGTTTCCTAGTTTGGTTTGTGTTTGTACAAAAATGAAACCTATCGAGGAAGTAAAAATATTTTTCGGTTACGGTAAATACTTAATGTGGGTTTGTTAAGTATCGAGATATCGTGTAGTGCGTAAAATTGTATTATACTCACGTAGCGAATCTCAGAGAGACGTGTTGTCCAAGTCCATTGTGGACGATCTACGGTCGGCTATACTGTCCAACTCGCGATCGTTCAGCGGGAATAGGGTCTTCATGCTTTTTCGTTTGAACCGCATTTTGGCGTCGTCCCCCACCTCCACCGTCCTCTGACACAATATCAGCGTCAAGCAGGATATCACCAACATGACGACGGGCACGACGGACGCCACCAGAAACTCTTTGTACGTGCGTTCCAGGTTGAACCGCACCACCGCCAGCTCGGGTATGCCAGTGGCGTAGAAACACCTGAACCGGGCTCGAGCGTTATGATCGGAACCGTCCTTGCCGTACTTCCGGATGAAAACGTCGCACTCGCCGCGCAGAGTATTGACACAGCCCTGCAGGTTGATGTGCAGGCGACTATCCTTGGCAATCAGTAGTTTATGTTCGCGTGGCGCCACGTCGTCGTTAATTGTGATCGGTCGGTCGCTCTGCGAGTTCAGGTTGGTCAGGTGCGAGAAATTGGCAAAGTCCGCCAGCACGTCTTTGCGTAATAGCGACCCGTTAACGCAGTCCGTGGCCAGTAGTTCGTCGGTCCTGCTGGTCACAACGCTCATGCATGACACGATCAATATCTCGTCTTGTTCCTCGGTCCATATTATCTTCTGCCGGTCGTTGTCATCCGATGGCACAGGGTCACCGTCCATGTAGCCCGGCAGGTACGCCGCCATTTCGCACCTGGTCAAGTACGCCCGGTCCCCGCTCAGCACAATCACGTTCTTGTTTCGGCTCGGTATGTCCACGCACCGCCTGTCGCAATTGTACGGCTCTAATATCCGGTTGCACTCGCCCCGCACGCAGTTGTTTAGGCCCATTATTGTCATACAAGTGATCTTGCCCCGGTGCAAGTTGCACTTGAGTGCTTCCGGTGCCGTGTTGCGGAATTCGCACCGGAATGCGTCCGTAATGTTTATGCATACGCCAGCGGTACAGTTGAATGTGCCGGTCAGCGCCTTGCACTCGTCTCGGATGCACGTGTACTTCTTGGCGTTCTCTGGGTCGAACCCGAAGCACGTCTTGTTGACGGTATGCGAACAGTTTTGGAACAGCATCGCTGATCCGTTCTGTCGGATGTTGACGTAGATTTGAACACAGCCGCCGGACGGCTTGCTAAGGCACCATTCGCTGCACGAACTCCAGTTACACTTCGTCTCCGATACGTTCCTGGTGGTGGTGCATATCACCGGGTTTTCCGATATTCCCGATTGAAACTCGCGCATAGTCGGCATGTATATGGCCACGGTTAGGTACACGATCGCCACACTGCTCAACACGGCCGTCATCTGGCACACGCATATCGTACCGCATATTCGGGTGTCCTGTGGCGGCACTACCAGATCCTCCACCGGTATGGGTTTTTTTTTCGGCATGATAACACCGGACGAACACTGTGCCGACTATACAATAATGACCACAACGGCGAAACGAGTAATGATGCGGCGATCACAATAGCAACAACATCAACAACAAAAAAACAACAACAACAACAACAACAATAACAACAACAAAGACAGCAGCAATAACAGCCGCCCCCCGCGCGGCGCTACTGGACGAAAGCGAATAACGAGGCCACTAACCGTGTGCAGCACAGCTAACAGCGGCGAGGGTTCGCTGCCGGCGCCGCCGCCGAACGGACAGGCGCCTCGGAATCTAGACCGTGGGGAAATCAATAAATCTAGACTGCTGCCGCCTCAGCCGTCGCCGCGCGTAAAGATAACCTTCACGCCAGACTGTTATCACTGTTATACAATAGGTATCCGTGTTTTCGAACGTGTAATTCATACTCGTTCGTTAATAACAATTTTATTTTGGTTTCGTCGATCGACCGTAATGTCGGTCTTTTACGTTATAAACGTGCTAACACAGCGCGATACGATGTCGGCGAACCCCGATCCCCTTATAATACTGCAGTATCTACAGGTGATTAAAACTTACACTTGATGACCGGACCGCACGTAATACGACGATGACTACTTAGGGGATTTTTATGTTGTACATTGTAATCAATTATACATTCGTGTATAATGTATTTATACACCATCCGAAAAATAAAACCTAAACATAAATATTAGTAATGCGGTGTACGCAAGTTTCTTTGTTCTACTATCACTATTTTAAACAATCATTATGCGTCGCAGGAAAAACTCAAAATTATTGTCATTCATATTACGAAAGAAATCAGACTACTCTTACGGTATATAAAATCATAACAATATAATATTACCTTGGTATATTTTATAGTTTTTGTGCAACGTTAAAAACCGAGAATATTCAAGTGATTGATTTCTTCAATTTAAAGAACTCGTATTATTGTGTAGCACTTTTCAAATATAAAATTGTGTGTTATGAAGTGATAGGTTAAATAATCGGTAACACTAAGTGTTATTATTGTTTCTAAAAGTGTAATATGATTGCACGCACGTGTTTTGAATATTGCCTGGAAGGTCAACTATGCTCTTGTTTCCGCGATTCGGTCGAGTATACTGACGAACTTCACGCACCAACTTGGAAATATTGATTATCCCTAGAGCTCGTTCGAGCGCTATCTATACACTTTTATAAAAAAAATGAATTCATATAATTCGTAAGCCAAATGATTTTATAATAGGTAGAGCCACAGTGCCACTCAGTCACAATATTCTCTTCGTACCATTTTCACATTTTCCATTCATATAGCATCGGAGTCGTATATGAATCTGTAGAAGTAATGACTTTAATATAATAAATCACATTTTAGATTTCTAGCACAACGCGGAATGCATTGGTTTAATTCTGTAAACAACTTTTCTATCATATCTTTTATAACTTCTATAACTTTTCTATCTTTCTATCTTTCTATCTTGTTTCAATCAAAAATTGTATGGGAACTTTATTGTAGTATTTTTGATCTAGTCGGTGAATTTAGGAAGTCACTTTTTTATTTTCGTTGTAGTTTTCTTAATAAACGATAAAAACTGCAAACAAAACAATTTTTGTATAATTTATGTTGAATTTTGGGTCACCTTGGCTACAAGGGAAACATAATATTTATAGTACTTTGCTCAGAATTATTTTTTGTTAGCAATGGTTTATCGTTTCTTACAGATGTAAATTAAATTATCCACCCTTCCAAATTTCCCCTAATATAGTGTCACACCCATCAACATGTATGTGAAATTATATTAAAGTTCAAATTAGGTATTTAATACTTGTGTAATAGTGGGAATCATAACGGATTGATGTATGAACGTATTTTATTAAAAATGATTTATAATAAATAAATCGTATTATACAGATATTTTGGTATTCCGGTTTGTCCCTTGATCAACCTCTGAAAGTATATATAGGTATACTCAGTTTAGATCCCATCAGTCATCACGTTTCGTTCCGTTGGGAGCAATAATTGCTTCATTACTATATCCGTATTAATTATGATGTTATATTATGTCCTATTTTGTTCATGATCAATTAATATACAAGTATTTTAAGGACGTTAAACGTATTTTCATAGAATGTACTTTAAAATTGTATACCTAAAATAATACAGTTTATTAATAAATTCATTTTTGTGTCAGTTAATAATTTTTCTTACTTTTAGTATTTTTGATCTATTTGGTGCATCTTTGTAATTTATCTTGTACTTTTTTGGATTAATCGAAAAAACTGGCAATTTGTTAAAAATTGTTAGCGATTACTTTGGCAACAAAAGAAAAATACGCCGAATCATACTGATTCAAAATCATTTTTCGTTTATAGTGGTTTATCGTTGCGTACAGATATAAATTAAATTCTATATTATGCTCCCATCTTCCTCCTATAAAATAAAGGCACACCCTTTAACAGTATCAGCCTTTTATATTATAGTTGTACGTTTATTAAGCAGAATATACAAGGTGATTTTTTTAAGTATGATCACTCTATTTTTATAGTTAAATTATGGATCAATTCAAATTATGATTTTTAGAATTTTTAAGTGTAGTGAAAGACGATATTTTCTTATAATTAGATTTTTCATAACATTTAAGGATTATCCCGTGATGATACAAACTTTAATGCAAATTGTCAATCAGATGATTTTTTTGAAAATGCTGACGAATTTTAATCAAAATTTGAATGAAAAGTTTGTAAAGTTTCTGATTTAAATACTAAGGATAGGTAACTTTTTATGGGGATTAGGTACCGACCATTTTATAGGAGCCGTGTGTAGGCAATTTCTTGATTTGATTCTTGCTGTTATCGAAAAACCGGTTTGATCCTCAGTATTTTAAGTAGATTAACTCAAAAACTATTTGTTCGAATTTCGATTTTATCTACAATATACATCAACATTTTCAGAAAAACCATCCGATTGATAATTTGCGTTAAAACTTCTTATTTGAAAAACCAAAGTTGGTATTGACATAGGATACTTCATAAAAATTGTTAAAAATCTTCGTATTCGAAAATATTGTCTTTCACTATTGTACTTAAAATTACAAAAATTGGAATTAGAATTTAACCAATTTTTTGTTTTGAATATTAAATAAAATAAACTACAATATTACATTTATAATAGTACGATTTTTAACCAAAGAGTGACAGACGTTAGTATTGAGAAATAATCCAAGAACTACTAAAACTTTTTCTGTCTATACTTTCTTTAAATTTTTTTTTTCGTCTTTTTCTGACAGTCCCGTATTTTTGTATAGTCGGATTTCCTTTTTATTTCCCCTGGTACCGCCTTGTCTGACTGCGTTACTACGGTTACCTGAAATTTCATTACATTTTTATTTCACTCGATGTTGTCTTCCTACAACACTCCATTTAGATATTATTTTCGCATTCATGAAAGTTACTTTTATCTAGATGTCGCTTCTAAAAAAACAAAAAAACAAAACGTATAAAAAAAAGAATCAGTGAATGAAACTTTATTCCGTAATATTTTTTATTTGTGGTTATAATTCGAATGTACCCGTTAACGCGTAATGATATTCAAAATATAATTTGAATAGGATTATTTTTATTAAAAATGCAAGTACCTATTCATAATTATAACCATATTTTACATTATTTAAAACATTATTATAGTTTATATTTTTTCTCGTCCATATTTTCCTCACTACTATGATTTCTTTCCCTTGTAGAAATTAATTCTCACCCTTCTGCCTCCTTAAATGGATTAGAAATTCCTTCACTGTTGAGAATCACTGAATTACGTATGTACGTATATATTTACCTTTGTGTCGTAACTCGTAAACCGTAGTCCTTCGTTATAGTCGATAGGTAACACATTTCGTTATAAAAATATTAGAAATGGAACAAATGTGGTGGTTTATATTATGTACATTGCCCTTATATCTGTCGTTTTTGATGTTCGGCCGATGTCAAAAGAAAAAAAATATTTTTTTATCATACCTATATGATTTTAATTTTAGTGTTTTAATGATGTGTTTTTTTTACCTGTTAACAACTTTTCTACCTGAAATATTATTTAATTTTCGAAGTGTTGCATTTTTTCTAAAGAAAAATGCATCTATTTGGTGTATTGAATAGGTTATTTATTTTATTTATTCTGCAGTGTTAAAAAATTTTTAAAAAACCGGGAAAAATAAAAAAAGTTTACGGTTTATTTTTTTAAATTTTTTTTATAACTTATAATTAATCGTAAAAATTTGGAATTTTTCAAAAAAAAATATATTGGCCTTTTCTAAACGTGGTAAAATGACGTAAATTTCACCACCAGTCCTCCCCCAAGTTGGAAAATCGTAAGTTATACATAATGGTAAAAAATAGTCGAGTGTAATTTAGTATAGTTTTTTCTTTTGAAGCTTTTTAAGTCCAAATTTGTTTTAGCAATTATTATAAGCTGTGTGCTACTGGACAATCAATCAACGATGGGTAATATAAAATTGACGGCTCACGCGTTTACGACCGCCGAACGAACAATCGGACTTGTAAAAATGTAATTTATTTTATTTTATTGCCACCGTTTTATTTCCCAATATCATCAGTACACACGTATACGTTATCAATAATAATATATTATTGTCATATTATTGGTAGGTCGGAATTACCGAGTGCCTAGTCGGAATTTTTCGAATCTATTGTCTGTTAGCCGATCCCATCAGATCCTTATATTAAATTTCGAAAAAATATTAAAACCTTTTGGCGATTGAACCTCCTTGCTATATATTTGATCTTTTTTTCTGAAGGACATGCTTTATAAACTGCACGGTTAGATATATATTATCAAACGAATAATCTGTTTCAGATATATATTGAAGAAGTACCTAAAAAAGCTACTCGTAGTTCATTCTGAACGTGTATATTTAACTATTTTATTAATCCCTTGAATCTTGATGTATATAAGTATACTTTTATTGGTTTCTGGTAACGTATACATGCGTACTCG